GTTGGACGGTCGACGGCCGACGGTCGACCGACCCATTTCGACCCCCCAACCCCCCGCCAAACCACACGCACTCTGAGCAATTATTAAACGAGTCTCTGGAACGTTAAATTCTGTCCACTTTGGAGGCGGACTCCTGCCATCTGCGGCCACTACTCGTGGCGGGGGTCCGGCGATGAAAAATAGAAATCGCAAGAGTTTGTTTAACAACAAGTGAAGGGGTTTGTTTTTTATGCCAACCACCCACCCACCAACCTCCAACTCTACACATACCCCTTGAATATTAGGCTTAGTGCTTACATTTAGTATGCCATATAAGCCCATGAATTTATACAAATATACGGCACATTATATACTAAACATGTCCGGTTATGTGCTCTTGAGTTACATGGATATTGTACGTTTGTAGGTGTTTTCTGTATTTTCGTTATTATAATAATGACTGTGGAAGGAATACTACAATGTCGGTCGTTAAAAAGTGCCGAAACTCATTAGATATTTCAGTTTACGGTGGACATTGGCAAAACTAACCCTTGAAATGGTTTCCGTGGGCGCTGAGATGCTTCGTGGCGTTGGGATTTGTTAGCAAATGGATTAAGGTACAGTAGGGACTAGGTTACAGAAATAGTTATAAGAAGTCTATAGTATAACTAAGGAAAACCAGAAAATTCACTTTATAAATCTTTATAAATTGGTTTCGAAAACTTACCTCCACCAGGTACCACATACCCCAATCAGTATCCTGTGAAAAGGATTCGTCCTTAGATTAGCCAAACTGGTCACTGTGTGTCATTTGTCAATTCTGCGAACCGAAAACTTTGACACTAATACCCGCCAGATAAATACCTTTCCGTAAAAACTTTATTTGCATGTCCTGCCCGTGTGCTGTGTTCTGCGTACCGTGTCCTCTGCACGGCTAACAGCGGTGACGAAGACATCAAGTCATTTGTTAAGATTAGATAAATACCCATACGGCTGCTTAATATTCATATCCGGATATCCTTCGCCGCATTCACGGGGAAGACAACCAGTTCCCGAGACGATTCTTGGACCGAAACACGGAATGCTAATTCTAAAAATATTGGATGATGTAAGGAGTGTACGGGCAACCGGTATTTTGATTAGAGTTTGGTGCCTCAACTGTCATTTAACCGGACATCGGGGCACTGGACATGAGATGAAAAGTGGAAAAAAACAGTTCCGCTTTGGGATATTAAACGTGGTTTTCTCACGAAACCCGTGTGTCCTGTAACGGAATTTTCCACCGCCTGATTTATTGACGATGGGACGAATGTTGACAGGACCCAAAGTTCTGTCCCGGCGACCTTTAATCCAGTTTTGCATTCAAGCGCAGTGATAAGTTCCGCTCTTACCACAGAGAAGAATAAGGGTTACATAAACATAGTGTCCCAACTAGGTGATTTCAATTCAAAATAAAGAGTTTGTTGATTTTTATATCCAAACACTAAATGCTTTATGAGCAGATACGAGTTTTATTCTTTTCTTGAAGAAAAACTCTAAGGTCGAGGTCATTTTTATACAGGAAATGTCTTTTCTTTTTAAAGTTAAACAGAAGAAAGTTTTATACTGGTTTTTCATTAGACATCCTTTTAATTTTAAACTGGTTTTGTTAATATTGTAAACTATATATTTTGCAAAACTATGCAGATGAAATTTAAAGGAATTCCTTCTTGAGAAATGATTTTTGATCATGTTTTTGCGGTCAGAGAAGTTGCGTGCCAGAATTTATGCAATCCGGTTTTTTTGTTTTTGAAATCAAGTAGCTATCCCCTGGAAAACAATGCAAATACCAGACCAGAGAGCCTTGTGTCTTGGGAATCCCTTGTCCCGAAACCCAAAGCCTCTTATCGCCGCACAGTCCACGTTCGATCAACGCAACTCGTGTTAATAACACGACAATTTTGACAATAAAGTGAAAACTTTATCGCGTCCTTATGACATATTCATTTGCAATGTCCTTTCTCAGGATGACATCGGTCGGGCAGGACAGTCAGTCTGATTTACACGCGCTAATCAAAAGGGATGAACACCCTTCCGGCTCTTTATTTCGTGGTTGACGAGGGAAGTCCACTCCAAGGATACTTTCACAACAAACCTTCAGGTAACAATCAAAATATTGTATTTATCATAATGACAATTAAGCTAGACAAGAGAAACTTTCAGATGCATGTACATACCTTGAATTTCAAAGATTCTTTGTTCAAATAATATTTTCTTTAAATCTTAAACTAATCAATTGCTTAAAGATTATGCAAATTTTTGGCTTGATTTTAATATTTGTTCTTTTCTAAGCCAGCTCTTGAATGAAAATGGTTAAACACAAAAAAAATATGCCTTGAACGCGAACCGGTTAGTAAAACACAACAGCAAAAAGGAGGCTGATGACAAAGTCCTGATTTGGCTTTGATGTCCGCAAGGACAAAAGAGAAACAATACGGAGCAAAGGAAAACAAACAAAAAATGAACTATTGAAACAACAACACTTTGTTTTTTTTTTCACCAAAAGACACAATAAATTGCAATTTATATCAAAAGTTGTCTTCATCATCATTTCCAAGCCAAAATAATATAGTACGAGTGACTATGAAAGCACAAAAATCATTGTTACTTGGCCAAAAAGAGATTCATGGTAATGATGGTGAGCCAAGTACATTACTGAGTAAAGCCTTTTTCTATCTAGCTAGGACTATTTATAGTATTTTAGTACTATGAGTTGCTATGACTCGTGTAATGTTTAGCACTTGAAACCCTTAATATTAGAGACCTAGGATTGCAGTCGCCTTCCTCCAAGGGATCTCCCATGCTGGAGCCCAATATTCGTGCCTGATATGGAAGCCGGATGGCGGGAACCGAGTGCTCTCCACCATTCGACTTGGTTCGCGACGTAATCTGGCGCGATCGTTTTCCATCAAAGGGTTCCTGCTCACATGCAACTAATCTGATTGTAATTGATGCATGCTAGAGAATGAGAATGAAAAAGAGCCTGAACACGCAAAATCCAGAAGGTTTCGGATGCTTCGATCTCGTAAAGGTAACTTGGTAGCCAATTATTCAAACGCGAGGATAAGAAAGCCAAATAAATTGACTTTAACCTACATGGGCTTTAGACTTCAATTCGAAATAAATGTACATATTTTTACGCTTCTTGTAAAGGCCAAGACTATAAGGCTTATTTTCTCTTTTTTTAAATAAAGGTAAAGGTATGCAAAATTTCCAAAAAATATTAATTCAAGTGAGACCCACATTAAGCTCACGCAATTCCATTGGCATTTATGAATGCCCAACCACCATTTGCCATCGGTGCGGATGTGGTATCGATATTGGCAGCTCCATATCCTTTATTTCGACGGGTAATTTCCAAGTCGTTGCGATTGTCAATCAGATGTTTTGAGAAATGTCAGTAAACAGGCTTTTGAGTTCAAAATATTTGAGATATATACCTTTTCGCTAACTTTAAGCTAAGATGATAAATAAAACTTAACCTATTCAAAAGCCTATATACCGCATCCTCAATTATTTTGGGGCACTTGTATTTGAAAGTCTCGGAATACCACACTCAGTACCGCGTTCGTTTTTCGATCTTGCGGGTTACGAGGCGACACAATATTGACAGCGACTGGATCCGTCGATATGCCCAGGGGATCGGATCGGTTTTAAGTAATTTAATCCTCGCCCAGAACCAGAATGCCACGAAGATGTCCACAAAACGCTGGACGCTGAACGCTGTACGCTGGACGCCGAACGCAGAACACATCATGCAATGCGAAAATGCGAACTGCGAAAACATGCATACAGATCACGGCTGGCAGGCTGGCAGCCTGGCTGGATGACCGGATGGTCGTCGGGATGGTTGGATGGCTGGATGGCTGGACGGCTGGATGGCTCTGGTCAGTGGTAGAGTCGACATGGATGCCTGGGAGCACTGTCAGTCGCCTAATCATCGTAATAATTCGCCTCAACTTCAGCCGATGGCAGCGGCAATGGGAAGCCAAGCGGAAATTACCAACACGCGATATTTAATTTTTCCAAAAGGCGAGCCAATAATTCGTCTTCATGCCGCTGCCACTGTCGCTTCTGATGCCGTGGTTGTGGCATTTTGTTGGTGCCATTTTTACTTTTTTTCTTCTTGTCTTTTTTTTTTTTGTCTTTTGGCCTCCGGAACGCTTTGGCAACAGACGCCACGGCAAAGGATGAGAAACTCATTAACGCATATGTGTAGCCCTTATGGCAGGACTTCAAGTCAGCATCAAAACCACACCGATCCAAGGTCCTTTGTCATGTTTCCTTGATCTTTTCCCCAACTATATTTTTCAATAACGGAATTATCAATAAAAACTATTTGAATTGTAGTAAAATTCAATAAAGATCTTAATTAAGATCTCTATCTCTCTTAGGAAGCTCGTCTGCAAGTATGCTAGTAGAAGTCGTGGGAAAAACTGGCCCAAACCATTTCTGCGGTTTCTCTTTCTGGGGTTTCAGTTACCAAGAAAGGAGACGAATAACATGAGGTCTATGGATAATTTTGTATACTGTGAAGTATTAATACTGGGTTAATAAATTTGTGTACATAAATTGGTATACTTGATAAGATCCTTTAATTTAAAGGACTTTTCGCATACTTATAATCGCAACGCTTAGAGAATTCTGGACAGGTAAAAAAAAACCGAAATTTTATACATAATGGTATTATTATTACTATTTGCTATTAATTTTCTAAAATTCCATAAATTGGAAAGGTGTTAAAATTAGGCTTTCTAATTCTAATCCAAAAATTACAGGATATATTTCTTAAAATGTTTTCTAATATAAATCAACTTTATTTATCTATCCCATAATGATAAGCTCTGTTTACCTTTTAATCACTGGATATCTATTATGTCCTATTAATTACATTTATATTAAGCCCCCAAAACATCTAAAAAAATATTTTTAAACCCACGTATTGCTGAAAATCTTAGCTGAAAAATAAAAACCCATTTAAATTTCCTCAGAGATAAAAACATGAATGTTTATTTTGTTTTTGTCTTGTTAATAAATATTTATTCGTTTCATTAGTAATTAGTTTATATGCTTATTAAGAGTTACGGAGATTACAGCAATAAGAAAACAAATCGATCGGAATGGCTTACGAACGCGCCAAATAATTAAGCTACTTAACACAATTAGTATTTGTTATTATACGTGTAGATGAATTGAATTTGGTTTTCAAACGAGTTCTTGTCGAAGTCACACAGTCAAAGTCGATATCTCTAGTTAATACTAGCTAGTATGCAGATCCATTAATACCTGTTGCATTGATATTAATACGTTAATTGATAAATACAAATAGCATTTGTATGGCAAAATGATCTCTCGTTTATAATTACTAAAGTGGCTATTAACAATTAAAAAATGGAGGTATTTACACAATTCATGATCTAAGAACTAGGACTCTACCGGGGCTCTACTGCTCGGCATCGCTCGACCCGCTGCTCTTGGCCGGGCTGTGGGATCTGCTGGAGGAGGCCTTGGAGGCGCAAGACCGGACAGACAGGTCCTCCGGCTCGCTGTCGCAGTAGCTCTCGTTGGATGCCTCGCTGTGGGCCAGCGGGCTGAGCCGCTTGAGGAGCCCCTCGTGGAATGGATATGTCTCCGTTTCGTGTTCGGTCGGGTTAGGGGGATTGGCTCCCGTCTGGTTGGGATTGAAACTTGGTCCGTTGCCTCCGCCTGGCTGCATGGATGCTGCCGCTGCTGCGAAGGCCAGAAAATTCAAGCTGGCATTGAACAGTTTGCACCAGTCCAGGAGGGCAGCTCCCTGTTGGTCGCCACCCATCTCAGCGGGTGGGCTGGAGCCGTTGGGGACTGCCGATGCTGGTGGTGCTATCACAGGCGCTAGATCCGCGGGAGGATTGGGGAACGGAGCTGGCAGTAGGGGCACTGTTGTGGTGTCCGGGAACACGGGAGTCTTGATCAGATCAGCGCTGTTGCTCTCCAGTGCGTTATTGTTCTTGTCGTTCACTTGCTCCGGACCGGACTGCTTGGCCGGATCCTTGGCCCAATTTTTAACACTCAACAGGGGATAACTACTGTTTTTGCCGAAATCCTCCGGGATTGTGGCGGGCGGAGGAGAATCAACCAGTTTGTTGTCTTCTTCTGGGATTTTGGTGGCATCAACGGATAGACCATCGACTGTGGGGGGAGGAGGCGGTGTCAGCTTAGAGTTCAGCAGGGCCAGAAGGTTGAGCTGGTGCAGCATGTTGTTGGAGTAGTCCATCACCCCGACTCCGTTGGGCTGGACGCCGTTCTTTTTCACAAATTCCACTAGGCTCAGCTTCTCCAGGAGCGAGTCTCCCGGTACCGGATAGTCCGTTGGGGAATAGGGTAGTCCTCCGAAGCCCAATTCCTCGTAGTTTGGTGGGAGGGCCACGAATTTCGGCGGCAACTGGAGTTGCAACTCGAACTTGGCCCGCTTCTCGGGCGGTGTGTCCAGTCCCAGGTGGTGATCCGGACCCAGTTGGCGGCACATGAAGCGCAGCTTCTGCTCGTTCTTGCACCACCCACGCAGCGTGGACTCCGGCACACCGATGTCCCGCGACACACTGGCCTTTGTCTCGCCGTTGTGAATGCGCTGGATGGCGCGCACCTTATCGTTGGGCGTCAGATTCCTCAGGGGTCGTTTGCCCCGCGTGCTCATCCGGATGTTCATGTGCTGGTAGGCGGAAATATCCATGGCTAAGTAACGGTATCGGGTGACGGTTAATTCGAGGCGCGGATTTTGACGATTTGGCGGTTCAGCGGGTTCTCGACTTTGCCGTACGAGCGGTGTTCAGTGTTCACTCCTCGAACTCGCAAAAGGATGTGATTCTGAGTCCGATTTCGCGGATAGCGGGCAGCGAACAGCGAACTGCGAAGTGCGAACAGCGAATCTCCGAGATGAGCCGAGGTATCTGCGGCGAAGAGAAAGCTACATATCTCTGGCCAATGGACGGCAGGCTCTCTCGGCCCAGCTCTCTCCGATAACCACCACCAGTGCAACAACTTGTTACTCATGTCCCGTTCTGGGACTCTCTTTGCGGGCCAAAAGGATTCGCCGCGCTCTGCGGGACAGCGCTCTCTTAGCCCGCAGAGAGCTCTACTTTTCGGCCTGCCTTCTTCGCGTCCTTCTTCGCGGCCAGATGGGTTGGATGCACATTTCCAAATTGTCCCGGGTAGGCCTACTGCGGCGCGTGCATGTGTGCGTGTTTGTGCCCATATGTACACATATAGGTGGCTCAAAAACTGGTTATTTACCTCCCATCAACAATTGCGATTGTGTTTGTCCAACCTCTTGGCATGTGCGTGAGCGAATCTGATACGGATGTGGACTTGGTTGCACTTTTGAGTCGCGAATATTTATGGAATAGCACGAATAACTCCCGCATTCGATCTAATTTTGCAATTGGCCTGCTTTCGGTGAAGTATCGGCTAATTAATTCGGAGATCTTTCAGATTCTGAAATTTTTTTTTAAGTACTCCCTCCTTATAGACCCCAGTATGCTCCTAGGAAACTATCCGGAAAGATGACACCTCTCCAGGACCTTCGTTTTCCTTAATAATTTTCCATTGCCTACTTTTGAGGCGCACTATTTATTAGATAAATGCCATTCACAATTCAAAATATGTCAGCTTTCATTACCCAGAATACTCAAAAAACATCTCATTGCTTAAAGGTTTTCCAATAAAAATCATTTTCTTTGTAATTTGGTTTTTAAATTTTTTTATTGTGTTATTAAAAGACACATTTTAGAAAGTAAGTAGCCTTTAGTATTATGTTTGATTTACACATATTTAAATAAATCGTCTATCAACTATAATTTTTTAGATTACACCTACTTGTATTGATTAATTTTCGTGTGTCTGCATATTAGAACTATATTAAGATTATATAATATTAAACATTTTCATTATTATTCTTTTTCGTTTTTGTTTTGAAAAATATTTTGCAACAAACAAACATTATGGTAAATAAAACCACTATTGGAAACATAAAATAATTTAAAAATACATCAAAAGTATTGCAAGCGGTTCATAATGCAATCTTTGATATTAAGGCATTGCGGATTAAATAAATAAATATATCCATTAAAATGGGGGAAGTTTTATTCATAATGTTATAAATGAAAAGAATTAAAAACAATAAAGTGCTGTTTGAACTTGAAATTATATTATCGTAAACTCCTAATTACTTTCTGTATAAACATGAGGAAACGGTATTTATTTTAAGTTTCAATTTATACATACATACAAATTTAAATATATACATAACCTATGTTGGCAGTACGCCCTTAATTTTGTACATATAATTTTTTTTTTCATTATGTACATAATTTGTTTCAGTCGAAGGCTTAGTAAACTAATTCTGAACGCATACGTCAAATGCACATACCCATATACTTTTTGTCAATATTTCTTATTTTATGCTACATGCCTTACCTTAGAGGTAAATAAAAACGGATAACTTTTCGGGGACATTAACTTGTAAATTCTTGTTTAATTATAAATGTAAACAATTATAGTATTACTAAAACCCTACACTGCATCTGTCAGAACTCAAACGGCCCAGACCAAATAAATTGATCTTGATCAAGGAATCAAAAAATTGGTGCGGAATTATTTTCTTGGATCTATAGATCTTGACAAGTGTTTACAAACTATAAGCAATGTCAATGTTTATGTTTTTGTATTATCAACATATTTTTCACAGATAAATTATTTAAAATTCATTATGCAGGTGATCGTTAATATGTAGATTCCGTTTGCTAAAAATGTACTCGTGATTATACATACGTATTTATATATGAGAATTTATCAACAATCATGAATATATGCATGAACTTTTATTTAACACCCCTTAACTTAAATTTAGTTTATTATTAGTAACAAATGTTAATAGCTTATAGATAATGATCCCATTTGCCCAATGCACCGACCTCCCTCCTCGTCAAAGGTCGCCAAAGTCAATCGTGACAATTTATTGCATAGAACCCCATTTCCATTATTTTGAATTGGATTTGGCTCTGAAAAAGTTTCAAAAGTTAAAAATGAGTGTTTAATAAATATTTAAAATATTTCTTACCATCATGAAAAGGTTCTGCTGTATTTCCCTCTTGTTTTTTATTCCGTATTTGATCCGTAAAATGTGATATAAGTGCGTCTATCATAGCAGCTTGCTTAGAAAATATTTGCATTAGCTTCGAAACTTGTATTCCATTCTCGACAACATCGAACTGTAAAATAAATAACATTTTTACTCAAAGCCTTGGGTCAGTCTGAGGCTGATCCTTTATATACCTGCAGAAATATACAAGTCAGGCATTCGGGATCATCACTTGCACTTGGTTTTGCATAATCCCAAGATAAATCCTCGTACCTCAACCCCAGCAATAGAGTCTGTGCAAAAACAGTTTTTAAACACTATAAAATAATTATTTATATTAATACTTACGCATTCATATGGGTCTATGATAAACACTCCCCTTTCGTTAACAGCTATTAAAACCTCCATATCCTTTTGGTTGACCAAAGCCATTATTCCTCTAACTGGTTGCTCTATTTGTCCATGGAAATAAGCGGCTCTGTGGGTTACAAATTATAATTTTATTATGATTTTTATAGAAAAACCACAAAAAAATCCACAAATCATTTAAGGTACTCCGCTCAAGAATCGGATATGTTTTGGCAGAGATATAGCCTTCGACGTGGGCCATATTGTCGGTCCCATGCATTTTTGCACTTTTAAAGGGAACCCCCACAAAATTTGACAAAAAATCTAAAAAATATTTTGTTTCTGGATTTTGATGCAGATCTATGGAGAATCGACCCACAAATCATTTAAGGTACTCCGCTCAAGAATCGGATTTGTTCTGGCAGAGATATAGCCTTCGACGTGGGCCATATTGTCGGTCCCATGCATTTTTGCACTTTTGGAGGAGACCCCCACAAAATTTGACAAAAAATCTAAAAAATATTTTGTTCCTGGATTTTGATGCAGATCTATGGAGAATCGACCCACAAATCATTTAAGGTACTCCGCTCAAGAATCGGATTTGTTTTGGCAGAGATATAGCCTTCGACGTGGGCCATATTGTCGGTCCAATGCATTTTTGCACTTTTGGAGGAGACCCCCACAAAATTCGACAAAAAATCTAAAAAATATTTTGTTCCTGGATTTTGATGCAGATCTATGGAGAATCGACCCACAAATCATTTAAGGTACTCCGCTCAAGAATCGGATTTGTTTTGGCAGAGATATAGCCTTCGACGTGGGCCATATTGTCGGTCCAATGCATTTTTGCACTTTTGAAGGGGACCCCCACAAAATTTGACAAAAAATCTAAAAAATATTTTGTTCCTGGATTTTGATGCAGATCTATGGAGAATCGACCCACAAATCATTTAAGGTACTCCGCTCAAGAATCGGATTTGTTCTGGCAGAGATATAGCCTTCGACGTGGGCCATATTGTCGGTCCCATACATTTTTGCACTTTTGAAGGGGATCCCCCACAAAATTTGAAAAAAAAATTTAAAAAATTGTGTGTCGTTAGATTTTCATGCAGATCTATGGAGAATAAACCCGCCAATCATTTAAGGTACTCCGCTTAAAAAACGGAGTTGTTTTACCCAACAAAATATAGCCTATATATAGAATTCTATATATAGAATAGGGCAAAAAGCCTACAATTAATAATAATTTTCTTACCCATAAAACGGCAGTGCCCAGCAAAACTCCAGATATTTCCGCATAAGTTTCCTGGTTGTTGCTGTCTGGGGAACCCGTTTAAACTGCTCCAATAGCTTGACCTCTGCCGAATTCTTCTGGCTTATTGGCAGCCACAGCCAAGTGGAGCTTTTGGCGACATGCGGTGGCAAAAAACGTGCTTGGTTCTCCCTGTATTTGAACAGATTCAGATTCAGTTTTTGATTAATTAAATACTTTTTAAAGAATTTACCGAAAAAACCCTATTGTATGAGTGTGGGAGTTGTAGGGCCCGAGTTCTATTCTAGCTTGGATGCCGCCCAACATGAGAGAATGCACTGGCTCCATGATGTACCTTCCAGTCAGAACATTATTCCTAGCCTCCTCATAGAGAAGCTCTAAAATCCGATGATCCCTAAAAGAATGTTTTATATTGTTTATTTTTCCAAGATTTCAAAATGGAAAAAAACTAGTTACTTGATTTTTTCTTCGTCGCGTTTCGAGAAGAAAACATTTCGTTTCAAGACAATCATAGGTTCATCAAACTTTCGATCACTGGGGCTACTATTGCTGAACTTCTGAAGCAGATTGGGCCACGCTACTCGAACTATATAAGGGCAGTGGTGGGCCTTCAACTGCATCTCCAGCAGCGCACTTGTCATCCACAAGCCGAACACGCTTTGGGCTAAAAGTTTATTGGAGATTCCCAGCTCCTCGCATCCCAAAGCTGCCGCAAGCATGACCTGGGATGGGCACTGGGCAGTACCCTCGATCTCCATATGTACTGCCACACGGGACATAAGATATACGCAAGTGGGAATTACCTAAATAGAGATATTATTAATATTTATATTCAAATACATAAATGTGTCTTTTTACGTTTTGAAGAGCACGAGATAGATTGGAAGCAGCTTTGCCGGTATTTGTAAAATTGGAAGTTGAGCTTGTGGCCATCACACGTTTCTGGATTGCAGGATTGGATTGGGAATCGTTGCTGGTGCTGCATTTGTGGTGAGCCGGCATAAATGAGGAGTTGCCAATCACACCTAAAGGAGGAAAGGAGGAAATCCAAGATAATTAAGAGCCAAATTCTTCTAGAAGTAAGACCCTTACCCGAAGGACTTCTGAGATCCGAGAGAGGGCAAAGAGCATTGGCGTTGTTTATCATGTTGCTGCCCATATCACCGATTCCGCCCAGACACGGAGCATTTGCCGAGGCCGCCATGGCGGAAGACACCTGTGCCGGAGAGAGGCAATCACCTTCGTTCTGTCCCGTGCTCACCACACTGGAGACGCTAGCCGAGGAGGCGAAGGTACTGCCCACCGCGGTCTGGATTTGGGCGGTGGTCACCACCCGATGAACGGTGTACATGATCGGCGGCACAGGCACGTTGACGGAAGCCAGTGAAACGGGAGCTTGTTGCTCACAGGCGATCATGGAGCTATTCTGGTGCGTCTGTGTGGCAGCCACGCGACCTGTGCCCCCGGCGCTGGGAAACATGGCACAGTTGTCGAAGGCATCTGGCGGATCGGGGACCGAGGACGCCAATTGCGGCAACTGATGGATTGATTCAGGGTGGCCCAACTGGTGGTTATGCTGGAGAGACTGTTGGATGTGGAGAAAGTTGGCGTGCTGTTGCTGCTGAAGTTGCTGGCTTTGTTGATGTTGCTGATGGTGTTGGTGGTGCTGGTGTTGCTGGTGCTGCTGATGGGATTGTTGTTGTTGTTGCTGTTGGTGGTGCTGCTGCTGAAGCTGCTGCTGTTGCGGTTGGTGTGCCTGGAGTTGTGGAATAGCTGCTGCCGCATTGGCATTGGCTAAGTAGTAATTATCGCGGCACTTGACATCCGTGGTATTGTAATATAAATGCGATCTATAAAAAAAAATTATTAATATTGAGTAATTACCATAAAAGTCCTTTAAATGGTTTTACTCACTCATAGTCCTGAGTAGATAGCTTTTTTCGATTATATTGCAAAGTTCCCAGTGGAACAGTCATTATATTGATATAGTTCCCTGCATTGGCAGTAGTATTCTTGCTGCATTGGCCACTGTTGCTGCAGATGGATCCTCCATAAGGACTTCCCATCCCATTGTCATTTCCACTGAGCGATTTGTTGTTCCCGTTCCCGCGGGGCACCAAGTCCTTGGAATTGTATCCCGACTGCTGTTGACTGGAGCTGCATGTCACATATTCCTGCCCGGCATTCATCCCATAGTTGATTTTGTTGGACGAATGTTGTGGAATTGACGAAGCAGAGGAAGTCTGCTGCATAGCACCCCGGCAGTAATAATGATTTGGCTCCATTTTGCTGTGAAATTATTAGCTCTATATAAAGTAAGCTATTAAACAAAGTATAAAACTTTTTACCTCTATTATTTTTTCATCTTAGAAGTCCTATCAACAGAGTAGCTTAGTCAGCAAAGATAATGTTTTGATAGGTAATTGAGCAATCCTGATAACCCTCATTTTATTTGGCAAGCTTTAGTTAAGCTGACAAATTATTTTTGGGGTTTTTACATTTCTGAAAAGAAAATATTTCTTTTACAAATTAATACTAGGGGTAAGCTAGGCCTTTCCTAACATATTTTGTTCAACATATTTTTGCTCTTTTCGAATGTTGTGAATATTCATCGGGTTGTGTTGGGGTATTTTTCCGAGCAGGTGCATGAAAGGTATACATACATGTACGAATATACATACACGAACATCTGTAGGTACAAATTAAGTTTTGATCCCATACACGAAGTCCTTTAAAATTTGGCATGCAATTTTGTTGGCCATATGCATAACTTTTATTTTATAATTGAAGGCACGAAAACTTTAAATGTTAATTTTTCCTCACATGGCCGAAAAAGCAGAACACCGTCTTCAATCAATACAGGCTTTCATATGTATGCATACACACGCACACACATCCACATCCTTCTAACTGGGTGGGACTTTGAAGGCCATAGTTTTTCACCGAACAAACGCCTCTTCAATTTTCACATATTTTCTTTCTATTTTCACGCTAGCCTTTTTGGGCTACGAAAACACTGGCATTTATAAAATCTATCTACAAATCCGTAGAAAACTCTTACGCACATAAATGGATCACTTTGCAAAAGGATATTACACAAATTTCCTTCGAAAGATACATTTTCCGTTGTATTGTCTTTTGTTGCTGGGGGAGCTCCGTGATGGGGAAGCTTCGTTCTAGATTTCTTTTCAGTCGGCCATTGTGGGAGTTAGTTTTCCATTTTTCTTTTTAATCACCACCAAGGCGGATGCGGATTTGCTTTAAACTAATTTCATGTATCGAACAATGACGAGAACTTTGCGAACTTTTTAGTACAAAATGCCAAAACAGGCAACTTAGCACCAAAATATCTACTTATACAACACCACTTCCCAACAGCCAACCGAAGTAAACAAACACATGCAAACTCGGTTCCCATATGAAGCGCATGCGCGCAAATCTGTGTTTCAAATTTTCCTGACTATCGATAACTGCAGGACTCTACCGTTATCAAAATCAATATTACCGCCATTTGTGTACATTTCAAATAAATACTGAGTAAGCTTTACTATCCATTTATTAAAGCAATTTTTAAAAGCATTTAAAATACTTTCAATTTTCATATAAGGTTTAACATTTACATCTTATTTGTGATACTTTTGAAGTTGCGGTGCCGATAATTTAACTTTTCCAGGGATATTTCTAGCGAGCGACTCTTCCTTTATACTTTTCAGTAAGTCCTTCTCTCGAGTGTTGCAGCCTTTTTCCTTGGCGAATATATTGAGAGCTAGTTTGGCAGCCTTTCCTCGCTTTCCAGTTCCTGGAGTAAGCTTTACTTTGAATCTGAAAATATTATGGATTATGTCAACATGAAATACTAATAAACTCATACAATCATCATACTTATAGTTCTGCAGAGCCTGATACGGAGCCACTACTGGAATTGCAAATAGTAACTCATCGCCCTCGGCCGGCTGCCCTGTAAGACTATTGAGAATATCCACATCCCCGCCAGCAGGTGCATCATCAGCATCCTCCAATTCAATTGGATTTTTGGGTGGTGCATTTTTATGTTGCTTCGGTTCCTCTTTTTGGATGACGCTCTTTTCCACTACTTTCTCAGTACTGGGCTGCGCCTTTTCTTTGCCCGACGACTTAAGTATCATCATGCGAATTTCCCTTTCCTCATCGTCTTGGTCCTTATATTTCTGTTTTATTTTCTTTAGTTTTCCCTTCTGACCTCTCTTGATCTGCGATGGATTCTTCGGCTCTGATTCGATAGCTGCCACTTCCGCTGCTTTAGCTTCCTGCTTGGCAGCTCTCGCCTTTTCTTCTTTGCTCTTTTTAGCACTAACTTGCTTTTTGCGGCTTGGAACTGACGTAATGATTGTGGTTTCCTCTTCGGCAGGCTTATTTTTCAATAATTTTTCTAGCACATTGCCGTTGTCCACATTCTCATTTTGGTCCTCGTTGACAGAATTGGATTTGACTGTTATCCGACCAGTGTCGTGTTCAATCTTCACCTCGGTATTGGGAAAGGCAGTTATATCCGTATTAGAACTTGGCTCCGAAACATTTTCGACGGGAGTGGCATCTGAATCGTCACTATGCTCGGATAAAAGATCGTTTGCTACTTCAGTTTCCTTAAAGTCAGGTTCGCTTGGCTCATCATCTATGCTGCGCACTTTACGCTCACCCAAATGGCGAGCTATGAAGCTGTCCTCCAACTTAAACAGCAGACTGAGACCCATGATAAGATGGCAGGACGGTAGGAAGTTCTTTTTTCCTCTGATCATAAAGCTACCAGTGGCCAAATACTCGCCAGTTGGTGCTGTTTTGCTGACCTGCTCGCTTGTCACCCAATAGGAATTGGTAACTACTTTTGCATCCCAAGCTACACTGTACGAGATGGCCATAGAACCGGCTTCCAATAAAGTTTTTGGTGGTATTTCTTCTCCTGTAGGATTCCGTATAATAACACTTGAGGCACCCTGTATTTCAGCGTGAACATAGATGTCTTTGGGCCGCATATATCTAAAATAATCGGAGAATTTAGTAATGTTTCCAACTTGATTTCTTAAAGTAGAAATAAAGCATTTACCTTTTTACAATAAGTTCGTTTTGCTGCGCATCTCGTCCTCCAATGACCAAATAGTTTTCTGAGCTTATAAACCAATAAAACTTTTCAAACCAGAAGACCTTCCTTGCTTTGACTATATTCGATATAGTTCTCACTTCTTTAAGCGTTTGCTGCGTCTTACGCTCTGCAGATTTCAGAGCTTTTTGTGAAGCATCCACAGTCTTCTTTTCCTTTTGCGCTGCCGAACGTTTAAGATCATAGTACCGGCGAGCATTGGCCCACGCTGACAAAGCCAAGTCTACATCCACCACAGTTGCCTCTGGAGTTTCCAGTTCATCGTCTTCATTGTCCCCATAGGGATCGCTCAAAATAAGCGATATGTGATTAGTTTCCAGTTTTAACTGCTTTATGGAGCTTGCTACAGAATCGCCATTGGCCTGAGCCTCCTTGACCAACTCATGGATGTCGGGCCAGGACAACTGACTGGCGATGGCGGACTGAACAGCGCGTATGGCATTATCCACAAGACTTTGATTGGACGTGATTAACTCGGCCTTCTTTCGATCCACGTCCTGGACCTTTGTAAGCTCTTCGAGTCGCTTGGCGTGATCATTTTTAACGTTAGAAAGCTTTTTCAACGCCTCACGTTCCTGTTGCAGCGTTTTCATGTCGATCTTCTGTGATTCTTGCGTGGAGTAAAACTCATCTACCGCCTCCATAAAGGATTCAAAGGTGGCACACTCAAATTCTTTGAATTGGACGAACTGGTATGGATGAAATTCAATGTTTCTGAAGAAAAATTCCACCTTTCCATTCTCGGCTGGTTTTTCTTCCTTAACTTGGACTATGTAGCCTTTTGTCTGTCCACTAGTTCCCTCAGTAAGAAGATCTTCAGCACTCTAGGTAATGAAATGTTAGATGCTTTAAGATATTTTTGTAATAAAAACCATACCTTTACTGCTTTTTTAAGAAGTGGAAGATCATTAACCATATCAAACGGCTTCTGTTCAACTTTAGCTTGTTGATTTCGTCCCTTCTTCTGTTTTTTACCGCCTTTCTCTGGCTTTTCCTCTGACTCCTGAGCATCTTCAGCATTCTTCGCTTTTTCTATGATACGATTATCCAAGCCCTGCTGGAGGAGTACATGCTCGATCACAGAGGGACCACAATCCAAGTTGGGCATCAGGATTTGTCGTAAGTTATCGCCATTTTTGGCGTTCTCCAGTAGCTGCTCCAAGGCCTCTGCCTTCAATCCTTCCGACGACTGCTTTGCCCGTTCCACCGGATATTTCTCACGCATAGCGAACCGCAGATTCTCACCCTCAGTGTGAGGACGCAGAATATACAGAGTGGTCAATTCGCTGTCCGTTAAAACAAGGTTTCCCCGATCATACAACTCCAAAATAACATGGTAGGCGGCATCGCCGGTACCAAACTGAAAATCAACTATACGATCGGCACCCAATTGTTGAATCTTCTCCAGGCGCTTGTTTTTCAGATGCTTCCTCAGCTTCATGCTGAATCCCGAGGGGGCTACATTTTTGGGCCATTCAAATCTGGTGGTGTGGAACCGAGTTCCGGATTCAATCAGTAGAGTCACCTTCTCAACTGCTCCGGTTCCTTGCATCCGGAAGAGATACGTCTTGTTATCCACGTCATAGATCTGATTCACGCGCCAGCCTACCAACCTAAAATGGGAAAAATAATTTACTATTAAGATAGTCTCTCCAAACTAGAGGGTTTAACGTACTTTTGCAGTTCGGCGACTCCGCAAATTATATCATAAGTATTGAAACGTGTCTTCATGGCTCCAGCATGGAATTCAAAGTTGTCAACAAGGTAGATGTGTTTGTTGATTTTTCGATTACAAAATCCTTATCAATTAATGTTTGACAGATTTGTGGTGAAATTCGACATGCGAAAAATCCAGATCAAGAACAACAAAAAATGAAAACAAAATTTATTCTTGTAGCGAAATATTTATATCGGAAATATTAGAGATGTGAAACCACTACGCATTATCGATAAATTTTCGGAAGCAATGAAGGGACTAACATGTCTATGAAATTTTTTTCTTTTATTTAACCAAATCGATGTAGATGCCACAAATGAGTTTGAAAAGCTATCAACATAAAATAAAGTCAAAAATCATTAATGAATAAATATCTTTAAGTACCTCGATATTAATCGATATATCAGTAGGTATATAAAGGGCCATCCCATCTCTATGCGAGTATTTGTAAATATGAGTGCGGATGGACCTGTTGTCAATGTACATGTGCTGTTCTTTGCCAAGTCCCGCGAGTTAGCCCAAACCCCCCGATCCAATGTGGATTTGCCTTCCCAGATCGTAGCCTCAGATCTTTTGGACCAACTGGTTACCAGATTCGACTTGGCTTCCATTAAAGACAACTTGATTTTGGCCCACAACGAATCGTACATCGAGAATCTGAGTGATAAGATTCTGTTCAGGGAAGGCGACGAACTGGCTGTTATTCCGCCCTTAAGTGGAGGATAGGTATTTCACCATGGATCACGTGAAGCTGGTCGACGATCCCATTGACATATCCCATATCCATGAGTTGCTGTTGGACGATGGCTGCGGGGCATCTTCGGTCTTTGTGGGCACCACACGCGATAATTTTCAGGGCAAGAAGGTGGGAATTGCTATCTAAACTATGGAATCTATTGATTGATTTTATTCTATCGCCCTTACAGGTGGTCTCGTTGGCTTACGAGGCCTACGATAACATGGCCATCAAGGAAATGAACAAAATCTGCTCCGATCTACGCAGCAAATGGCCCGAATTGAAGCACATAGTCATTCATCATAGATTAGGAACTGTGCCCGTTAGGGAGGCCAGTGTAGTCATAGCAGCTTCGTCCCCACATCGCTCAGAAGCACTGGAGTCGGTGTCGTTCGCCATAGACCAGCTAAAAACTCGTGTACCCATATGGAAAAAGGAAATATACGAAGGGGATCACAAAGCCGAATGGAAGGAGAACAAGGAATCCATCAGGACCAGTAAGCAACAGTAGTTAGTTTTTGAAACACCACCATGACATGTATTCTTTTGATTTTGTATATTTGAAAATACACTTGTAAATGAAACGTTTAATTAATGCCTTTCAGAAAAGTCTTTAAGTGGTTTCAACTACTCGGCGTGCCCTTGTAGGGTCGAGGAATCGCATGACGTCCCACAGAAATTAGTGCAAATTAGAGTTAATGATGCCGAGTTAAGCAAGCGCTTAGAATGCTTTGTTAACAGAAAACGTGCTGAAATTAACTCCCAAAATATAATTGACTTTAAGCACTCGCCCGGTGACTCAGTCCCAGAGTCGAGCGACTCCTGTGCCCGAACTCAAAGCACTGTAATAAAGCAGGAAAAATCAAATTGCCATATAAAAGGTGGGTTATTATATTACCATTTATTTATCTTAGCTTATTGTGTAAACTATTTATCACAGTTCGGCGGGTAAACAATCGCAGCTATTCGCAGCAAACGGAGCTGCGACCCAACTATGAACTTGAACTTAATAGGCTAATGGGATCGCGTGATGGTCAGAACGACCCATCCGACAAGACGAGAAAATCTCTATATGATTCTCGTTTGCTAACAATTGAATCGTACATGGGTTTGCCACCAAACAGCGAAGAAAACATCTTCAGTCGCATTAAAATGTTAGAGGACAGAATTCTTATGCTGGAGTCTATTTCTCCAGAATACAAGCACTTTGTAAGTTATGATCTTAAATATTTATTTCTCAATTAACATGGGTTTTCTTTCAAGACCAACAGCGAACCGTCATCTCTGGAACCACCGGCTCCGAAAAAGATTCGAAAAAAATCCTATTCAACGCAAGAATTGGGCATGTTGATAGAAAAAATAAGAAATGAATAAAACAAATTATAATTTAAACCAATGAGCTGTCCCTTGGTTTTAAATGATTTAAATTTATTTCAACATTTCAACTATTTGTAATAGTTATATTAAATGCATATAGGATGAGTGAAAAAATTCAAAAATTTTTGTTTAAAACTAAGGAATTATGGGGTAAGAGTGGATTTGTTTGTTGGTTTTGTTGGTTCTTTAATCGGTCGTCAAGCTTCATGGATAACGGCCGAAATTCTTGTGGTTATTCGTTAACCGCAGCTGCTTACTATTACTAATACGTGAAATCATTTATTGTCCTCGCCCCTAAGAGAGAGTCGGGAACTGAGCTTCGTCGTCAACTTTAAGAGGCTTGGGACCGTTGCGGCGCTTGTCTCCGGCTCGGTTGTTGTCCTGTCGTTCGTATCCGTTGCTGTTGTTGAATCGCTGGCCGCGGGGTCCGTCAGCACCACGGAAGCCGCCCTCTCCGCGAGGTCCATCGCCACGGAAGCCGCCCTCTCCGCGAGGTCCATCACCACGGAATCCGCCCTCTCCGCGCGGTCCATCGTTACGGAAACCACCCTCACCGCGGGGTCCCTCTCCACGGAATCCCTCGCCACGAGGTCCGCCCGGGCGCGGGCCCTTGCGGAAGCCACCAGCCTTGCGTCCGTCATTGAAGTTGAATTGAATGTCGACGATGCGCTGAAGGCGACCCACACGCTGCGGATACAGAGACGGATCATACTCCAACTCATCCTCGCTGTTGTTCTCCTTCTTCTTGCTCAGCACAACCATCTTCTTCCACTCGGCGTTGTCGACGCCCTCACCGGCCTTGCGCAAGTTGTAGTTTGGCTTGGCGCGCTGGTCCCGCAGAGCCTTCCACTCGTCAAGAGTCATCTGCTTGGACTCGTCCTCCTCTGCAGCGATGGCCGCCTCTGCCGATACCTCATTGACCGAGTCGTCTTTTTCCGCCTGCGGGGCCGACTCCCCAGTCTTCAGATCCTCGATGTCCTGCTTCGGGGATCCCCAGTTGTGGGCACCGCCGCCATCACGCTTGTCAATGGCCTTAACGCCTGTAAAATGTAAATTAAATATTTTAATGTCAGAAATGTCGGTGTAAAAAAAGGATTGACTTTTTGCTTCGTCATGGCGGTCAAGATAAGACCGAAGACCTAACATGTAATCTTGTTGCCAAGTGTCTTTTTTTTTAACAGATTCTTGAAAGAAATCATTTTGATAACTCACCGGTTTTATCGGATCCCGACTGGCGGTCAAACTCTCGCTTTCCGAACTTCTCGCCGCGCTCGCCGCCGCGGAAGCGTGGTGGTCCCCGATTATCACGATTGTTGAACTGCCGCTGGGGCAGCTCGTTGCCGAACTCAGAGTTACCGGCATGGTTGTTCTCCCTGTTGCCGAAGCGCGTGTTGTTGCGAACTTGTCCCGGGTGGGCGCCGTTGGTCACCTGGTTCTTGACGCCGGCATTCACAGGCTTGTTGCCCTTCACCGGGCTCTTGCCCTGGACAACCGCGTTGGGCGCCTTTTTGGGAGCCACCGGCTTGTTCTCCTTCTCCTGCTTGCTCTTAGGCGCCTTGGGAGCCTCCTGCTTCTTAGCCGGCACCGCAATGGCGGCCACCTTCACCTGCGACGCAACTGCATCCTCGTCGTCCATGAACAACAGTTCGTAGCGGTTGTTTCCTGAATTGTCCATCATGTAAAAATTCTATAAACTACGAGGGCGGGTTACTTTTTTTATTAATAATTCGACTTGATATTCGTTGCAATCGCCAGTCGGCTTAATGGCACATGGCAAGCTAGGTACTCGACGGTCGGTTTAAATTGCAAAAAAAAATGCGGAGAAAAAACACCTTGCCGGAAACGAAATCTGAAAAGGGAAAGTGTGGCCGTTGGCGCGCTGGTTGATGAAACCCGATAATTCTATGTTTTTTGGATGCTGTTATCGAAGGTTTTGATTCGTCTTTTCCCCAACACTAATTCTGATTTTTTGTGAGAAAACCTAAAACAGAAGCGAAAACCGGTCTAAAATTGAATTATAGAGCGAATAAAAATGGCGTAAATAAAAAATTCGGGAATGTGAACTTATTGCAGCGACAAGAAACCCATAGTTAAAAAAATGGCAGCTCAAGAACTAGTTCTCATTAGTTCAAAGATATGGCAGCTAAAGTTTTGGGATGACCAAAGATGTGGCCGTTTTTCGATTGTAAGAAAATTCCAACGCCGGTGACCGTTTTCGATAGGATCAAAATTACCGTCTACTGGGAGCCCCCTCTCCCACCTGACATCTGCTTGCCTTCAAAATTTTCAGGTCCATCTTTTCCCTGCAAGTTACAAATTCAAGTAAAAGCAAATTACTGTTGTAATTAACTACGATTCGATCGAAAATTGCCGCTTTTGCATATGCGCGATTCGATAAGAGCTTCGTGGCAGAAGGACGAACTGACAACGAAGGGATTCGAGTTTGGACATTGGAAAAGGTGGCAGCGGAGGTACCCCTAACTTTGAGACCGTGATTGGTAAAAGAAGTTTCCATTGCCGGTGAGTCCCACAACAAGCCTCGAATCGCAGGCTATTAGCACTTAAGACTAAATTAAGGAATAAAATATAGCGAAAATCGAGTGCGTGCAGCGGAGTTCATGTGAACGTGCTATCGCATAAACAAAAAAATCAATACCATGCTTGGCAGCTACATACATGTATGTATGTATGTATCTCCGTATGCAGTTCCCTTTTTGGACCTCCCAGTCACTTCCTGGACTGGGCTCCTCCATCACCCCGTATCATTGGAACCTCAAAATTCGTGATGTCATTTTGAAAGTTTCTCCTTATTTGGAAGGGGGGTCTGCAGTCGTGTGTAATAGAAATATCTTCTTAAATTCAGGTCATATATGGGTTTTCCTTTGCCTGTGCATTTGGGTGGTGAGCCCTTACTTTCTACTCGAGTTTTTAGGGGTTGTTCTACCCTTGCTGGCATCAAACGGTAGGCCTAACTTTTATTTCTACACCCTCGACGACGACGACAAGTTGCCTGCCCAAATACATATATTTGGATATAATGTTCTCTGCATTTGCAAAATGGGTTAAAGTTGCGAGTAACTTTATTTGAATAAATAAATATAGATACTCCCTCCATATAGGGAGATATATGGGAGACTCACATGCTCGGCAACCGAGAAAAACGAAACCGAAATGCAAATGCTAGCAGGAAGTGCAAGGTCGGCATATTGCAATGGCAACACTTGGTTTCGCTTGATTGACTTTTGAACATTAGAAATGTGTTATTTTTCAATCGTTGAAATCGATGAACCCGAGCATAAATGCCCTTAAATATACAACTAGAAGGCGCGGCCAGCTTTAATATTTAAACTCATCAAAATTAATACTCCAGTTATGTAATTTTTGTTTTTAAATGACTCATTATCAGGGGATATATGTATATAGTGGGAATGATATTTACTTCCGTATTTCCAAAAGACACATTTAATCTTTTGGAGGCTATTGGGTTTATTCCGCAGTACAGCGTTTAAATTATATCCAAATAGCATTTAATTAAATTTTAAAAAAGGCCCTCTACAGGGGTTGAAATTCTTTGAGAAAATAGTGTATAATTAATACACTTTACTCTAAGGACATGGGCTGGAGGCCGCATTCTATAATAATGAGGGTTTCTTGCCCATAAAAAATGCATCTTTAAAAGAACATCAAAGGCTTGTCCCCTATTTCTCTGTCCAGAAAATTCTGCAGTTTATTTTGGGTTTAATCTTTCCCTGTTTGGAATACAGATTTATTCATACAAGAAGCCGAAAGAAAACAAAACGTACTGATAAAAATACAGATAAAAAACACACATTTAAAAATCAAATATCGTTTCTCCAAACATTGTTTCTCTCAAGACAGTATGTGCCTAACCAGGACCGATAGCATTTAATGGAAACTAAGTTTCTATAGAGTGAGTATCCGGTCCTTTCTCATAAATTAAATTAAGTAAATTGAAGTTAATTGAAAATTTACTGCTGAGTAGATGTGCAATTTTGAATGGCATTTTTTTTGTATTCGAAGTCCACTATTTGTTATGGTTTAGATTTAATTGTATTAATTAAATTATATCTCGTATATGTACAATAAAGAATTTTATGTTTCAAAAATACAACAAATATTTTTTTTTGACCAAAATTAGGAACTCTTGACAATCACATAATATTGTACATATATCTGTTAATAAACTGATGAGTTGTAGTTGACATTTAGATTAAGAATCTAGTTTTAAGAGTATTTTTTGGTATTACTTTCATAAATATTATAAAAAAATAGTATTTTTTCCTTCAATTTTATAGCATCTCAATATCTGAAATCTAACCAGAGTCTTGCATCTGTTGATGCGCCTAAAGAAATAAAATATAAATATTAAGTCAACTGCGAGCCACATATTAATTATTGGGTGTTTCGAGGCATTGCAAGCACAAGATGGATGCCAGAAACACTCCAGCCAACAAGCCCTTAGATGGGACAAAGTTTCTAGAGATGTTGTCAACCATATCATTGGAGGAAGTGCTCAAGTATGAGTTCCGCCGTACACAAGCCAAAAAATGGGATCTGCTGGTGGAAGTATGCAAGGATGCCTCCACAAAGAAGTATCAATGCAATGTCTGCAATGTCGTTCAGTTCGGCGACAAGAACTTGTTCAGTCACTTGACTGGCAAGAAGCACAATGCCCTGCTGACCAGTATTATGGACCTTCAGATTAGGAAGAGGGGTGCCCCACCGCCACAGAGAGGCCGACCTGCAGATAAGCCAGCTGGTAATTCAAACTCCAACAATAATAATGCTTCGAATTCAAACAATTCCAACAATTTGAATTCAAGAAACTCCAATTCCAACAACAACGCTAATTCAAATTCCAAGCCAAACAACTCGAATTCAAATAAACCTAATATTTCCAACTCAAACTCCAACAATTCGAATCAAAACAAGCCTGTCCAAAGAAACGTGTCACCACAGAAAAAACCTACTCCAAACTCTGGAGCCAACAAAAAGGCAGAGGAACCAAAGCCCTCAACTGCAGAAAAGCCTTCGGGCAACGGACCCCCTTCGAGAGGTGTTCCCAATACCAACTCTTCAGCCAAGTCTCAACCTCAAAGAAAACCTGGACAGAATGATAAACCAGCTCCTAGGGACAATTCGGCCAAAAACAAAAACAATGTACCAAACATTGTCAAAAATCCGCTGTCCAACAAGATTTCTATTGTACCACTGGCCAAGCTGATTAGCTCCAATCCAGAGCCCGAAGAAGATGATAATGACATGCCTATGGATGTAATAGTGATTGACGAAGATCCCCCATCGGAGAATGCCAACCACTCCATACCGATTCAAACAGGGCTAAGGCAGCCCGCCCAAGAGGTGGACAAAAATTCTCAAAAAAGAAGTGCTCCACCATCCTCACGACCGGCTGTAGGCAAACAAATAAATCCATCGGTTTCGGAAAATTCTACAGCCAGACCCGATGGCCTGACCTTTGAGTCTAGCAACGTGACCGAAATCCTGGGACTTGTTGGCGTGGAGTATGTTTTGAAAATAGTTCGAAGTGTAAACGCCAGGAATGCCAGATATTTGTGCTGCCTGTGCGACATTACCGCCGATGAGCAGAGAATGCAGAACCACTTGGTCGGTTATAATCACCGCTTGAAGTATTTTGACAAGCATTTTCCTACCGCGATGCGCCAGTACCGCCAGTATGTGGCCAATGTACCGGAGAGCGATGTCGCCAAGATAATGATGCCGATATTTGAAAAACTTGCCATGGCCATTGAGAAGCACCACGGTCGCGAGTCCCCGTATATGTGCTATGAGTATTATTTTGGCAAAGATCGCAACTCTCTGACCACCAAAGTTTTCAGCCGACGCCATGCCTCGGAGCTACTGGGCCCTTCGTTCACGCACGTGGTTGACGCCAAGGAAGTCGAACAGATGATTGAAAAGATGCGCCAGAGCAAGCAACAGCCTCAGCCGTTGATGGGCATGGAACCCTCGAATCCCTATGGTCAACCATATGCTCAGCAGGCTCGTCCCAATAACTACGCCAACTACAACCCAGAGGGGCCTGCAAACAATCCGCCACAATCACAGACCGTTGATGATGAGACTCACAAGCGCATGGTGGATAGATTCCTGCGAGGAAATCGTCCCTCCAGGGGCGATAACCATGGATCGCGGAACCCGAAGCGCAACCGGTCGCGCTCTCCTTCCAACGAACAGAGGAAGAGAACTGTCGCCAATCCAACAAAACGCCTCTGGAACGTGGAGCGCAGATCGTTGTCTCCCCTTCGAGATGGGGATATTTGGCAGGCCTATCGCCACATGGTCGACCAGAAGGTGCGGGATCTGAACGTCTCGTTCGATGCCTATAAGGCAGACCCTGAGCAGCACCCCAACTATCAACAGGAGTGGCAGAGGTTCTGGAAGCGTCGCAAGGACGAGCTAATACAGGCCGGAATCAATCATCGCTCCTATAATTTCCAAAACGAGTGGATTCACTACTTCAATGCTCGTCTGGATGAATTGTACAACCTCGAAATTGAGGATATTAAACTGAAATGTCGCGAAAGATTGTGCTTGCCCCTGACCAATCATGAGCTTGAGAATGAAAAGTATCATGTCCATGTGCGCGGTGTTGAAGAGCCTCAGCTGCGTCAACCGGAACCTCGTCAACCGGAACCTCGCCAACAGGCACCACATCAACTGGCACCCCGGCAACTAGAACCGCGTCAGCTAGAACCGCGTCAAATGGCACCCCGTCAACTGGAACCAAGACAACCCGAGCAAGGGCATCCGGATCCCTCTAAGAAGATCCGGAGTTCTCCGCCCAAAGAGGTCGAGCCGCCGAACGTGATTCACGTTCTCCGTCTTTTGACCGCTCTGGAGAATTATCTGGGAAGTTTGGGTCCTTTTGTTACCGAAATGCTGGCCAAGGCTTTGCAAACCCAAAGACTGTATCCCGACAGGGTTCACAATGTAATTCTGACATCTGAAAACTGTGCTATTTTGGAGACGGCCAAGGAGAAGTTCACCGGTCTCCTGATTTCACAAATATACGATCCCACTAAAGAGAAGGCTTTAAAGAGGGCGGTCCACGACACTGAAATGTTGCTGGAAGAAGCCACCAAATTTGTGGCTCCCAAAGATCCAGATTCAATAAAAATTGCTCCCCAGGTTATGGAGAAACCACAAGGCTTTGGTTTCGATAACAAGAATAAGAATCCCAATCAGATGCAGCTCTTAGATCAGAATTCCAAAAAGCCGTTCGATAAAACTGAACTGGCCGCCAAGTTGGCGTCTTCTTTAGTTTCCCAAGGGAAAACATCAATTAATCGCGAAGAGCTGCAGAAAATCCTTCAAGTTTATAACTTAATTGAGCAGAAGAAGCGTCAGGACGATCCTCCGAACAGTTCGGACAGTCCCGATCGACCGATTCGTTCACGCAACTCTCCCTTTGACTCTGAGGCCAATGATAACCCGTTGTCCCAACACTCGACTAGAAATTTAAATACAAACAATGAGACCAGTAACTTTACTGGTCAGAATTACTCAGAAAATGTGGCTCGCCTAAATAACAAAAACTCTAACATGGCTAACTCCGACAAGAATTACACATCGGATCGAGGATTTGGTTCTGGCTCCCGTCAGAACAGTGGATCCGGTGGTTATCAGAACACTCAATATCCCAGTTGTTCGGGCACCCTTCAGAGCAGTCAATACGGCTCTGGATTGGGATCGCTGCAGGGCAATCAATATGGTGCTAGGTCCGGAGGACTTCGGAACTCGGAATATGGATCGGGCTCCGGACCCGCAGGGCTTCAGCAGAATCTATTTGGGTCGGGCGGTGGAGGACTCTCAAGCAATCAATTTGGCTTGGGATCCGGCGGGCTAAATAACAATCCATATGGCAGCGGATCATCTGGTGGCAGATATTCGAGCACCCAGCCGGGCACTGGCGGATCGTCGTTGTCGTCCAGCAGCGTGTTGCCGAACAACTTGCAAATGTCCTCCCTTTTCAACTTCAATACCAATCTAAACCCCACATACAACTCTAACCGCAGAAGCCACAATTATTAGCCGAGAGACGACGTCACAGCCGCTTAAGCATAGCAACGAAATTTCTATGAAATTCTCAAAACCACTCGAGACATACATTTATTGAATATTTGTGAAATATTTGAACAATGTAATGTAAATAAAACTTTAACATAATTCAAAACATACGTTTTCAATTATGCAGATGTCCTCAAACTGTATTCGCTAAGATATACTAAAAATATGCAATAAAGATTTTATTACCATGAAATCAAGACTTTTTTTTAATAAATATTATTAGTTATAGATTCAAATACTTTTGGAAAATATTTTTAAAGTAATGTTTAAAAAAAAATAAAAGACTATTAGAAGGTTTTTTGCTTTCTAAGCTCTTTATGCTCATTAAAAAATGTATTTTTAATTTTTATTATTTCAAAAGAATGTATTATTATTTATTAACTATAGAATTAAAAAAAAAAAACTATTTATGCTTTGGTTAGTTTAGACTTTTAAGAAAATAATTATAAGTTCATGGATCGCGCATCTCGTCTACGGTTCTTCAAATGCGGAGCAATGGCGACAAATGAATTAGTTGTGCTATTTCATAGCACATCGAAACTAACTCTGTGAAACTCTATGGAAAGCTATCTAGTATCTGGAATACGATGTTACAATCACCATTATTCATTTAATGGCACAGAAGAGGAAAGTATCGACTCGAATTAATGCATGCTTTAAAATAAGGCAAAACACAAAACAAATCAGCCGAAATCATCGTGACCGTTGAATACCATTTAAAAGGTACTTGATTGTTTAAAACCCTTCCACCCACATCCTTTTCCAAGGCTGCCTTTTCACATCGTAGCATGTATAGCATAGAGTCTAGTGAAATCCTCGATGATCCTCGATGGGAAACGAATACCCATCGCTGCTTAACACATATCGCTCTCCAAGCCAATTAAAAGATTTAAAGTCACACCATTGTGGGAGCTCTCTTATTTTTTTTTTTTGTAGCAATAGGTTCTAATACAATTTCAAATCCGCTTTAATAAGCCCAACAATTTCTTATGTTACAAATATTAAATTTCTATTGAATAGATCCCGAGTTTATGTGCCTAATTCTGCTAATATATGTATATTTTAGTTCTTAATTTTGTCCTTATAAAATAAAGTTTTCTTTTGTTCCACTTAACGTTCTTTTAAACAGTTAAATAGATAATATGCTTATATATTTTATACTTAACTATTTCAGAGTCGTTATGCCTTCGTCATTGAGTGATGCTCTCACAAATTCCTCGTAAGTTTTTGATTAATTTGGTTAAGAATAGGTTCTAATATTTAGTAAAGTAATCTTAGTTAAGCAATAGATTGTTCAGGATTTTATTATATCTTTATGCTTACATCCTAAACAAATAAAGAAATTGCTTATTAGTTTGCTGGTCTTTAGAAATGTGTTTAATAGAACAATTGTATCCTTTCTATTTCGTTGTCCTTTCGGGTGCACATTGTAGAGTGAGTCTTGATTTCCTGAAACAAGATGATTGGATTACTAGTGGAAAAATGGGTTCGCGGGAGGCGGTACTCGTGTTCAGAACGAATATTCTCAATCCAAAAACTCGAAAGACCTTGTCGGAAAAGTCATCCGCCCAAACGCTGTCGGATCCCAAAGACATCGATGAAGAGACCCCGGCTTCGTGCGAAAAGACGGAGCCGGAGGAGAAAACTTCCACCTCGTCAGCAACCTGTAGCAACGAAGCTCTGAAAGAACCCGCGCAGCGAAAGATTTACTTTTTGAGAAACAACCAAAATTGTGATAAATCTGATAAATCCAAATTTTTAAGTCCTTTTAAGAAGCTTATGAATCAATATTCCTCGAGTGATACCTCTATTTCGAGCGAAGGGGAAGAGCCGGCTCGCAGTAGTAATGAGAACAAGTCGCGCGTCCTGAAAACCAATCAGAATGCCATTAATATTTCAATAGCGGAAAGTTCGTCGAAGGAAAGCGGTTACGAGTCCATCAAGCCCGATAAATCCAATTCGAACGCTGACACCAGCGAGGAGGATCCGGATCCGGAGGCGACCAGCGAAGACGACGACGAGATTGGTGTTAACATGCCTGCCTTTAAACTTAAAATTACCTACAAGTTTCATCAAACCGAAACGAAATTGCTGCGAAAACTATTTACAGTCCATGGCCTTACAGAAACGCAAGGCGAAACTAATTTTAATCTATTGTGGACCGGGGTTCACATGAAGTTGGACATTCTGAGGAATTTAGCCCCATACCAGAGGGTTAATCATTTTCCAAGGTAAGTTCATATTATTTAAAGTTTTTTTTTGAGATTTTTTCAATATTTTTTACACAGGTCCTACGAGTTGACCCGCAAGGATAGGCTCTACAAAAACATCGAACGAATGCAGCATCTGCGGGGAATGAAGCATTTCGACATTGTGCCTCAGTCCTTTGTGCTGCCCTTGGAAGCTCGGGATCTAATGGTGGCGCATAACAAACATAGAGGGCCATGGATTGTGAAACCAGCAGCTTCAAGTCGCGGAAGAGGAATTTTTATAGTTAATTCGGTAAGAACCAAAAATATCAATAAAATTATGTTCGAAATATATTTAATTGCCTTCTTGTTTACAGCCGGATCAAATTCCTCAGGATGAACAGGTGCTAGTCTCAAAATATATTGTTGACCCGCTCTGTATTGACGGGCACAAGTGTGATTTAAGAGTATATGTATTAGTCACATCGTTTGATCCTTTGATTATTTATTTATACGAAGAGGGCATCGTTAGACTGGCCACGGTCAGATACGATCGGCATGCGGACAATTTGTGGAATCCGTGCATGCACCTCTGCAACTACAGCATTAACAAATACCACTCGGACTACATACGAAGCTCTGATGCCCAGGTGGAAGACGTTGGCCACAAGTGGACACTGTCGGCACTCCTGCGGCATCTGAAGTATCAGGGTTGTGATACTCATCAGCTCATGCTGAACATAGAAGATTTAATTATAAAGGCTGTGCTAGCCTGTGCTCAAACCATTATTTCGGCCTGTCGCATGTTTGTGCCCAATGGAAACAACTGTTTCGAGTTGTACGGATTCGATATACTCATTGACAACTCGCTAAAGCCCTGGCTCCTCGAAATCAATCTGTCCCCATCTATGGGGGTGGACAGTCCGTTGGACACAAAAGTGAAATCCTGCCTGATGGCTGATCTACTGACGTGCGTCGGCATCCCGGCTTATAGTCCGGAAATGAGATCTCATTACGATCAGAAGTGGTCCCGGTTCCGCAGCTCCAGTTGCCAACGACAAGCCACCGTTCCCCCGCCCTCGAGCAGTCAGAAGTCCTCGAAGAAGTCCAAAAAGAAGGGAGCCGCTGCCCATGTCAACCTCCTCACGGGCGAGGAACAGCGCATCCTTCGAAATGCCCGCCATCAGTATTCACGTCGCGGTGGATTCGTCCGCATCTTCCCCACGGACGACACCATGCAGCGATATGGCAATTTCCTTGATTCCGCCAATGGCATTCCGATTTCAACACCGACTGTTCAAAGTCAGACATTCCAAACGCCGATTCTTCAACATAACTACAACCAAATGCTGCACTTTAATTTATACTGCCAGGATGGACGGCTTAGCAAGGATGACAACACTGAAGAGAATCGCATCGAACAGTATGAACGGGCCTTGGAAACTGATTCGGAGATTCCGTTCGTTAAGAAGCCGGCTATGGAGAAGTGCGAAGAGGAGGGCCGAAGATTGCGGAAGGTGATGCTCAAGAAGATATCCGCTGGATCAGAGCTAACCCAATTCCAAGCACGACAGACCTTTAGTTTGTACCTGGAGTCGGTCATGCGACGCCTGACCGAAGATCCGAAAGATAGCCACGAGAAGATAATACTCAAGTTTCTAAACAAATTCGGTGGGGGTGTGAAGCCACCAGTTTTGTTCCGCAACATGCAAAACCTCAAGGTAGCCAGCAAAGCCCGGTCGGCGATGGTTGCCAAGCTTCTGGGTGATTTTCTGGAGAACTACAAAAGAGATACGGAATCGTATGTGGACTCCTTCGACCATTTTGGAATGATACCGTCAAGTGCCTACAATCAGTTCTTAATGCACGCCCAAGAGTCCGACTTGGAGGCAGTGCTGACCCTTCACACCAATGTTACGGGAATCATGCCCTTCTTGTATAATCGATGTGGACTGTCAGTGCCACCTACGCCTCCAATTCCGTCCGGGCTGCATGGATTTCTCAGAGCCCTCCCCTCAATGGTCTCCGCGTCTGGAACGGCCAGGGAACTTAGCAAATACGACGGATACTTTAAGAGCTACGACAAGGATAAGATATTTCTATAAGGTCCAAAGAACACAACGCGATTTTAATCTATCTTAGCTAATGCGTAAAGCTTTTGTCCAGTCATATGATATGGTAGTAAGTCAGTATAATTATTTTTGTATTCCAATTTTCGCAATAAGGCAGGCTTAAAAAAATATATATATAATAAATCATTTTCAAAACAACGATTACTATAAATGTAGTTTTTGAACTGCTTTAAGAAAAATCAACTAGCTTTTATATATATCATATAAAACAAAGGTCAAATTTTTCAGCCTACACAAAGTCATAGCTTTAAAAAGAATTAAAACAAATTATACTTCTACGCCAAAGATATATGAACTCGAGACTTAAAAAATAAATGTGAAATGCACAAAATAATGTTTTTTTTCTCTGGTGAACTTTGGAGGAATATTATCAAAAAAATCATACAATTTTGGCGAGCTTTTACAGGAAACTATTACAGGTTGGAGAGCTTTTTTTCGAAAAGCTCCTGAAAATAGAATTCAAGTGTTGCCAGTGGTCATTTCCTTTTTTGGCAGAAAAGTATAATTTTTGTAAAACAATAAATGCAATGCCAAACAAATGAAAAATATTCTTATTATTATATTACTGGATCACGTAAGCTGCCTAACCATCTAATAAAGCTAACGGTCCATGTGCAGAGCCATATCCAAGGATTCCAATGTGTGGTAAGCAAACACGGAGTATTGATTAATCCATTGCCAATAACAAAATAATATTTAATTTTTGATTTGAATGCCTATAGGGAGTTTCGTAAAACATATAAATCACGCTATTCGAACAGACAAGCGTGTTCGCATTTTCATATGAATGTGTCCATAGGAAAATTTCGAATTTTCCAAAGCCAATCCAAACAATGACAGCTGATTCCAGCGCACGCAATGTATTCCGGAAGAATGGGGTTGCCGGGTTGGGCAACAACGGTCACGGACGGAATCTTATTACGACCGCCAATCCATCCGGCGGGAGTAGTGCGTCCCTCCTACAAAAGCAATTATCCTTCAAGACGCCCGTGGGATCAAAACAAATGGGCAAATCCGATGAGATTGAAATGATTGACAGCTCGAACATCGAAAATTTCAATAATCGATATAATAAGGTATATATATTTCGTTTTAAAATATTAAAAATATTTATTCATTTTTAAAAATGCCAATTGTAGAATAGTATTATTGGATGGATCTGTTGTGCACCATGTATTTGGCTGCGAACCTCGGCGGCTGTCCACAAAATGGCCATCACATCGGCGACTTTATTGGTGACCACTCTACTGGTGGCATCGCCCATTCTATTCCTGATCAGCACAGCACCCTCACCTTTGCCCCGAGACTGCTACATGGAAGGTGACAAGTGTTCTCCCGCCGTTTCTGCACCACCAGAATGCACGGATCCCATTTGCGAGACCGTGGCCTCCAGTATTCAGGCCAGGCTCAATTGGAACAAGGATCCCTGCTCGGAGTTCAAAAAGTTCAGTTGCTGGCGCAACACACGGAATAAGAATATAACTAATCTAATTGAAATGGGAAACTCTCAAAAAAGTGTGGACTCACAAATGTTGTGTAGGTTTTTCTCAATTATTTGTGCATCCCAACACCTCATTTTTAATCCTTTGGCTTGCAGATCTTTTTCAGAATAAGATTATGAACGGGAGCTTTAATATATTGCACAATTTGTTCGAGAGTTGTTTGCAACAGACAACTAACTCAACTGTAATGCACCGGATATTCGACAGTTTGGGAGGATATCTACCTGTTGGCTCCGTAGGACCCTCTAGAATAGCTCCTTTGATAGCAAAAATTTATGATCTCGGCCCAAGCCCTTTGGTAGACTTATATTACGATCTTAGCTATGGCAGGAGACCGCACATTCTATTAATAATTAGTGGACCTAGTACCTCTTCAACTATTTTGGAGGTAACTGTAACAAAACTAAGCCTGTTTTTATTATTTATTAATAAATGAATTCCAATTTAGCGTAAAATACGATGGATGAGCCCCAAAGCACCACCAAGTCGCATTAAGCAAGGAGTACCTAAACTATTAGCCGATCTAATCGACAATTTTCTACCGCCCTCAGTATCCTATGCTCAAAGAGTGTCCGAAAAGGATACAATTTTCGAATTTGTTAAGGACCTGAATAAAGTAAGTTGTAAATCAGGTAAAAAATTGATTATTTTTAAAATGATATCTTTTCTTAAAGCTGCAAGTGGAGCACTCTCGCAGAGGCTTCTGGGATAGCACCGTTTTATATAATGTATCAAGTCTACAAGACTTATATCCAGTTGTAAGTATATTATATAGTAAAAAACGTTTTGTATCTCAATTTTTAATATTTATCGTTTTATTTATCAGCTAAATTGGACCCTGCTTATTCCACAAAACTGGAGTGGACCTATTGTTGTCAGGAATAGTGATTATCTAAAAGCCTTAGAGTATTTTCTTACTAAATATCCAACTAGAGTTGCGCACAATTCCCTGCTATTGCTTAGTGCTTTAGAAATATTGCCTAGGGATTATCCAAGTCCCGAGGTTTGCACTCGATCAACCATGTGGGCACTACCAGAACTATCGTCGGCTTTATACATAGCCCAGCACTCGTCCGATGAGCTAAAGGACATAACCAAACGAGTAATTCAAATGAAATATATTTTAATACCTAAACATCAATTGTTGCTCATTTTTCAGGCGGAGATTATCTTTAAATCACTTAAGGCCCACTTGAAACGCGCTCCATCCTTAAAAGGAGCTGCTCTTGTTAAACTCTCAGCTCTGAAAATTCAGTCACAGACCTGGGAAGGATTCTCCAATACCACAGACCTATTGAGTTCGCTTCAAACCCTGGACATAACAGCAGAATGCTGGTTTCAAAACATTTTGGAAATTTACAAAAAGAATAAAGTTGAACCTACAGATATAAGCCTGCACGGAGGATCCCATGATGCGTAAGTGGTTTGGTTTTTAAAATTATATGAATTTTTGTATATAAAACTTATTTTTTAACAGTTGGGCTTATCCTATTGTGTCTACAATATTTTACGACACTTTGAGCCACTCTATAGGTTTGTCTAGTCAACTGACTTGCCCAAAATATGTAAAGCATAATGTTTTGTAATTATTTTGCAGTTGTTCCATTATCTGTCATACTCATACCGTATTTCAATGCTGTTTTGCCTCCATATTTGCATTATGCCTCTGTTGGCGTTTCCATTGCCAAAGAGATCTTACGCTCTATTACAAAATCGTTCGACGAAAAGGCAATGCGTTGTGTTCCACATTCTGTAAATATATTCTCAAACTATAGCCGCATGGACATCCTGATACATTCGGGAGGAATGCAGATCTCATACCACTCAATGCTTTCGTTAACCGGTCCAATTAAAGGAATGGCAAGACTACCTGGCCTTAATTTAACGCCAACACAAATCTTCTTTTTAGTTTCCGGCCAGGAACTGTGTGCTGAATCGAATTACTTGGGTATCGATACGAATGCTCCCGAGTTTGATAATATGTATGTTTCATATTTTACTTTAAATTATATTTTTTAAAACATATTCCTATTTACAGATTGGGTTGGCTCGTGGCCCAAGGCGGGAGTGCGACAGAAGTTTTCAAATGTCCATCGGGATCTATGATCAATATACAAAAAACCTGCAATGTGCTTTAAATATTCTTTGATTGACACCTCTACAAGTATTTAATTTAAAATTTTTGAAAAGTAGTTGTTTTAGAGACTAACCTATTAGTATTGTTTTTATTTGAGATTTAAAATATGTATATTTTCAATAAATATACTGTTAATAAATTGTTGGCTTGTAATTACGTTGGGCGCAGGATTCCCTGATGGAAATAAAATTTCTTCGATCTTAAAACTTAGATACTAAGAACAAGCTAGCCTTTTGAATAATTTTCAAAAATTAGACAAATACTATAATGAGGCATATAATTATAGCTTTGGCATTTGGATATCTGACGAACCTGTTGATATATGGTTTGCCCGATGAAATACCCGAATCACACATGTCCGAAAGTATTAATGCCGTCTTGCTCAAGTGTCCCCTGGACCCTAAGAACATGTCCTGTGAGGTGCAGATTATTATTAGTATACACATGAATCCCAGCTTCGATGTGGATAATATGGATAAGTTTTGGGTACTAGACGAAGTGTACGATCCCACAAAAAGAGCGAATATGAAAATAATATCTCCCTATTTGATAATGGTTTCCAGGGGCGAGCCCATTGTAATGTATCCTCTTCAGTATCTTAAAGTCTGTTTAAATATCATAAAATTTAGTTGAAGATAGTAAACTTTTTTTCGTTCCTAGTCTGTGAATCAGGAAGATTTTAAAATGGATCTCCCAGAGGAGAAAGGGACAACAGAACTTCCACAAGCTACAGACGAGGAGGATCAGTTGCCCGAAAGTGATTTTAGAAGTGAGTCAGGATCCGGGTCTAATAAACTATTGTTATTTGTATACAAATATAATAATTTTAGGAAAAAGAAGTCATCACCCAACCTCGTTGAGAAACAAATATAAAGGTTCAAAAAAAGGTCTTTCAAATAAGAGGCAAAATGTCAATGCAGAATCAGTGAATAACGATGATAGAAACATTCATGGTAAAAATGATGTATCAAATCTGGGACTAGTCCGAGTTTTTGACCCTTCTGTTATGAACAAAACTTTAGATTTTAATAAAGAACTCCCAGTTCATAACACGATAGGAGCCAATCAACGAATGCAGGGAAAGATTGCAGAGAAAGTACCAATACAAAAGCCAATTTTGGGATTTTATTCTAAAATAAATAAAATGGAGAAGGATAATATTGAAAAAGTACAAGCAATAGAACATAATTATGCGGTCCAACATATCCAAGTATGATTGCCTTCTTTTTTAATTTAAACGTTTAAAAGTATTGATTTTTAGGACCAAAAAAATAATCTGGAAAATAAAAAAGAGTATAAAGACGTTAAAGAGAATCCCCATTACTCAATGGACTCAGAACCGAATATGAAGTTTGTATTTTTCATGTATATAAATATAATCTCTTTGATGACTTTTTTATTTTATTTAGTAATGATCAAGTGCGGATAGAAAACAGAGACAAACATTTCCCAATGGTATTCGATAATAATGAACGCTGGGAAAACGGCATCCAAAAAGAATATAAATATGAAAACCCTACTAGTTCTAGGAATATGCAGAAATTTGATCATGAAAATGGAAATAAATATGAATTACGATCAAAATATATTCCAGTTAAAAGTAAAAATCGAGAAAATTATTATATGGACTCTGTAAATTATGAAAATAATGTAAAGAAATTTCGGAATGAAAAAGAGTATAAAAATGAGAATTATAGAACCGATGAAAATATACAGTTCAAAGAGCAAATATATCAACCGAGTATGCATTCCTCTTATCAACAAAAAAATAATAAAAACATGCACTTTGATGAAAATCCAGAAAGCAATGGTGGCGACTATGAAAATGATTTCGATGAAGTCGATGATAACCGAGTTTATGAAAATAACTTGATGGGTCAATCAGATATGGAAAGCCTTGAAAGTATTGCAAATCGTCATATAAATGAAAACCTTAACAGTAAGTACTTAATGATACCTATTATATTAATATAATCTCTAATATATTTATTTTAGACCATGCAATTGGTTACAAAAAATATTACAAGATACCCCATCTGAGCACTGAGTCCAAATATAATGTTCAAGATCAATATCATCAATATCTTGACTATTCTCCGGACATTATGAGGCATCCCAAATCATATTATCAAAAACCAAAATTCCATAGATTTTCGCCAATGCGACGCGTAGGAAATAACCCAAGAATAAAACGTGCTGTTTTGAATCCTGATAATATAGAAGAAATACATTCATCTCAATTGGCCGAAAAACGAGTTGATGACGCCCTAAAAATGTATAATTTAAAAAACTTTGAAATTAACGATGAAGTTTCCTGTGATTCATGTGGTGGCAAAAATAAAGAAACAACGGAAAATCCTGATCCAAGTTTCTGCGCTCCTCTACTGCCGACTGAGAGTAAGGATAGCAAAAATGATGAATTTTCTTTAAAAATCAACGATGAAATCCCTTGTGATACTTGTGGTGGAAAAAATAAAAAACCCGAGGGAAAACCTTTACCTAGTGGCAAGGAATCCGAAAAAGTTGAAGACTTACATCCGAAAACTGAAGACGACAAAAATGAGGAGCTGGAAAAGAAATCAATCTCAAAAATGTTATTCCCTCCTGATTTTTATGAAATTAAAGTTGACAAGAATACGGAAATATCTTTGTCTAACGAACATAATATCCATAATTTAAGTAAAATACATTTGGATGAAATCGCAAGTGATTTTTATTTAAGTTCAAGTGAAAAGCCAGACTTTAAATTTCCGTCTGGATTCATGCCATTGGATTTACACTCAATCGATGAAAGTTCTTGCGATACTTGTGGAGGAAAAAATAAGAAACCAGGTGGTAAGACTTTACCTGGGGGTCTGGATACTGATAAGATTCAGGACTTCCATATAAAGTACGATGAAAGTTCCTGCGACACGTGTGGAGGTAAAAACAAACAGCCCAGTGAAAAACCTTTTCCGGGTAGTTTAGATTTTCCAAATGATTTCCATCTTCCCTTTGATATATATGGAGACCACTATAAAAACCTTGGTGATGATTTTTTGCCAGATGTTGATAAAATCAGTTTAGAAGTTAGCAATGAAGCATCTTGTGATACCTGTGGAGGAAAAAACAAGAAACCCGATCCGAAGCCTTTGCCAGGTTCCCTGGAAGCAGAAAAAATGCAAAACTTTCATCTGAAGCTTGATGAAGAGATACCCTGTGACACGTGTGGTGGAAAAAATAAAAAGCCTGGTGGAAAACCTGGAGGTCCCAAATCAGAACATCTTTTGGAAAGCAATGATGAACTTGTGATACCTTGCGAAAAATGTAAAGGACACGATAATTGCAATGATGATACATTAGTTTCCGAAACTTGTGGCTGTGTAGGGAACCCTGATGTTTGCAATTGCGAAGTTAGTAAAGAAACTCGAGAGTCTAAAAACAAAACGTATGTTAATAAAACTAGAAAATGTCTATTTTATTTTATTCATCTTTCAGTTCAAATTATATTGGTTATTCTATATTCAAAATCAATCCTCCAGTGCCCGTTTTAACAACAAAGCTTAGAATATTTCGAAGGCGACGCAACACCTGGTGGCGTATTGTCCCAATTATAACGTAAGAAGTTTAATCTAAAATTTAATAAAATTTAGTAATCCGTGTTTCAGTCTCAATAGCATGAATGGTATATATGCTAACGAAAATATATCAGTGGTATTTACTTCTCACGTGGATATACTTCGCATGGAAAAATCAATGGGTTTACTTAACAGCAAACTTGCTATTCCAAAAAAAGAAAATCCTGGATCCGTCTATACCTTAAAAGAATATCAGGACAATGTTAGAGACAGTGTCCTGCTCGACGACACAGACAAAGATATATCTATTCGAGATATAACAAGTTCCCTGATATCCAAACTAGAAAAATTAAAAAACGAAGGAGTTAAAAAAATCGAGGGCTTAGGAAAACTTCCATCTTTTATAAATACTTTGGTGAAATGTCCCCACAAAGACAAGGATCTTTGCTTGAATGTTCGCGACGGAAAAGTACCAGGTAAGGCTTCCTTTAAACCTTTTATTTTTGAGGTAAAACATTTGTGATTAGAATTTAGCATAAAAATCAAAATACCCTTTCGAGAGAATGCTTTTCTTGTTCGAGACAAAAATTTGGTTAAAATAGCAAGAATCGTTACCGATGCCACCACAAAAGATGCTCTTCAAATTTCAGTTGATGTTATTAACAAAGGAATGAAAAGCGAAAAGTTTAGAATATTCATTTGTAATTGCGAACAATCCTTTGGGTTGTCGACTACCTCGAGTACCACAAAATTACTTCTGCCTCACGTTGGAAAAACTGTCACTTTTTTGTTGCCATTTATTCGAAGCTTGAAGAAAAAAGGCAAATTTCGTTGCGATGGTAAGACATGCATACGTTTATTATTATAGATTTGTTTTTGTTATTAATAATATATAATTACAGTGGTTGTTAAGGCCGCAACCGGCAGCCAAAATGACGATTTGAAAGTTGGGGTTGTGGCCAAAAGGTCAATGGATATACAATTCCATTCAAGGTGTTTCTGTGTCTGGCGATGTCAATGCCACTGCATGGGCGCATTAGAAACCTATATTAATTACAATGTCTGTGAGAAAATGAGCCATAAAGCTCAGGATGAGGCTGGACTTTTATATAACTGCCCGCCCGGAAATGAAAAACATGATATTTGTATAACTGATTTGGAAGAAGACAAAAATGATGAGAAACCACGTAACTTCATTCGTATATTTTTAAACGTTGTTTTATTTTTATTATGGTTACTCCTATTTTTGGGTAAATATTTTTTTATAAATGCCAATTATTAGCTTTAGTTTATTTTCACCCATTCCAGGTCTTTTAAAAGCAATTCTAGGCCTTTGTATTAAACCCATAGCTCGCTATGGGTTCGACACCCTTCAACCTGGAAGAAACTTTGAGTGCACATCGAAAAAACGCATATTTTTAATCAATCTTTTCTTTTTTATAATCTTTTTGTTTGCATTTTGGTGTAAATGTTTTCAACCAAGAGCTGAAGATCTTTTGGTTGCCAGCACCGAATGGATGTGTAAAGCCAATAGCGGTAGTTCTGAAGTAGGTTTTAAATCAAAACTATTAAAAATAAACTTTTAGGCTCATATTTTTTAAAAACTTTAGAAAGAACAATGCGATGGACAAGCTAGGCTTATTGGAGGTTACGATAATAATTCTAACGATCGTTTCTTACAAGCCTTTGGGCCTCTACATGAAAACGGGTTGTTTGCTGATGAAAAGCCAGAGGATGAAGAAAGTACATTATTTATTATGGAAGTATTAAAGGAAAGCAAGTCCTCACTAAGCAAAATGGTAAGATTATTTATTTACATTTCACTAACACTCAATTTTGTATCTTTATACCTATATCAGATGAGTCAATCTGCGTCCTACAGACAAATGATTGAGGAAAGGACAGACGACACCGTCGTAGTAAGAGAAGCCGAAGAATTAGTAGATACCCTAAGAAATGCCCATGTTGTTTACAGGATCTTAAGTTTACCAATGGGCGGGAACACTGACCCTTTATCGGAATCTAAATATTGTGTGAAGGGCTACTTTTTGCCATCAATCAATTCCACATATGAGTTCCTGAGCTGCCATCCATATGGTCAGACCGTGGGGGTCCCTGGAGAGGTGCTCATATCAGATTTTTAATTTTCTTCAATTAGTAATTAAAAATAAATTTATTTCAGAATGAAGTCGAGGAAGAGGAAATATCCAATTTCTTTCACACAGATGAATTCTCCAAAATATACGCTAATAAAATGGAGGTTTACGAAGCAGGTGACCTCTTTGCAGTTTGTCCCGATGACGTTCAATGCATAAATATGAACAGACAGACTTATTTAGAAAACTCGTTTGTCAAGCTCTCCACTCAACAATCGCAATTGAAAACCAATAGATATGAATAAGCAAATATATTTTGTATTAATCATTTATAATAAATACACAAGCTATTTAAAAATAAATACAATTTAAAACTGATCATTTTCAACACAGCGGAACATCATACGCAGAGTATACCCGAACACTACTGGATTCTGGATCTTCGATGGGACTGTTTGTGGTATTTTCGTCTTTTCCGGATCTGATATCTATGAGGCCACTCCCATCAAAAGTAGCATCTGACGACTCCTTGTGGTTATATGGCAGAGGTGTACTGGTAGGCTGTGGATCTTTATTGCCCTTGTATTGTATGAAGTACACTTCCGGGGGATTTGTTTGGATTGGGGCAGCCTCTACGCGTCTTTGATCTTCCCCTTTAGGCAGTTCTCCCTGGTGACTTGCCACCGGTGCGTATACAGAATTATTTTCTGATGCCTGTACCTGGTACTCATCTGTAGGGTCGGAAGAGTATCCATTAGTTGTTGTGGGCCGGTACACTGGACTTTGGCCCTCGTTTCCATAAAGTACATTCCTATGCGTGGAATCAAAAGTCGGCGAATATGTATTCTGTGTTTTTTCGTTGTGGGCGTTCGAAGCCGATTGGGATGCATAATTTATGGGGGCACTTGAGGGAACATTGGGAACCAGATAATGGTAATGAATATGCTGGGTAACCAGTGGACTTTGCATTTGCACTGAAAATTGGCTTGAGTGGGTCGACTGACTGCTCATGTAGGTTGCATGTCCATTACTGGTTACTAAAGGAGGCATTTCGTTGATTTTTGGTTCTTCACTAACACCCTCTTGAGATGCATCCGATGGATACTTTCTATCAATATTTGATGCACGAGTAATATCATTTACATGGCCTTCTTCTGGGCCCAGTTTGTTGATTGGTCTGTTCACAATTCTGGCTAGCGATTGGGCTTCAATGAGCTCATTGTTTTTCAAAACTGGAAATGATACACTGCAGTCTCCTTGCACAATCCAAATTAGCAGTATATTGTAAAACAAAAGCACTTTTAATTCAATCATTATTTAATGATCACCATAAGGCACAAGCCACAACTGTCTTTTGGCTCTCAAATGACACACTTTATATGGTTGCCAGTTATATAAAAACATTGTGAATTGTTGGCTTGGCTTAAAACCAACTTAATTTATTTATTTCTTTGTGTCTCAGTGAAAGGTTTTGCTGAAAGACTGTGACGAATGTAATTATGTTGTCACGAGTCCACATATCTATAAAAAAAAGAGATGCTTGATTTGCGTGGGCTTTTCCAAATGTAACACTCTATACTTGGGGTCGTAATAAAATCAAATATTGTGGGATTAAAATTTGTAAGGCACTTTGGTAGGGTATTCAAAATATCTTAGTATGTTTATATTATGCAATGCCCAAACAAAAAGATGTGAAAGTATTACTTTAGTATTTGTTTACTACTGTATGGTGCTGCTACTGTGGATTTTATCGCCACTAAAAAAAAAGATACACTGTGCATGTGTCCAACGGAAACGGAAACTGCGTACACGAGCACTCAGATAAACCCGCCAATTATTCGAATACAAATTATGATTCATGTAGCTCTTTATAAAGATTTTATTACTATAAAATGTATTACAACAAATATGTAAAATGACAATAAAATGAGGAAAAAATACACTATTACACACATATATATGCTTGCGAATGTTATTAAGCCTAGAACTTGTCCCTATTGGTGGCAGGGCATTATCGTGTTACTTAATATAAATGCAAAATCACTGTAAAAATTTCAAACTTAAGATACTACTAAAAATAGTTTTTATTATGTTTTTTTTTTTCTCTTTTCGTTTTTTTGTTGTTATTTATTACTCATATTTAGATTCGATTGATATATATAAGAAGTATGTATATGTTTGTGTGTTGTGGTTTTTTTTATATATATGTATATTATGTTTTGTTATATTTTCATGATCTATGAATGAGCTAATGCAGAGACACTTTAATATCGACTCTCGGGGTTTCTAGCAAATGGGGTTTAACAGGTGGTTTCTAGAAGTGGATCAGGCTTATGAGTACTCGTAAATGGTTTTACAATATTAACAGTTGTGGAATCTTTGGAGGCTCGTTTTAAAGAGATAAAGTCTTCGTGCTGGCTTGCCATAATTTTATTACCGTGGTTTTTATCCGAAATGTGAAAGCCCAACTTTTGGGGTATTGGTTGCTGTTCCCTGCCTCCAGATCTTTCACTTGGCGGCATATTGCTTACGTTCCGATCGCTGAGGGACAATTGGAGGTTTCGCTCCAAGGGCGGCTCACGAATCTGCTCGGAGAGTCGACGGATATTTAGCGGAAGTTCGTCATTGGTTTGATTGGGAATCGATAGGGAGCTATGTCTAGAGTGCAATTTTTCTACTTGAAGTAAGGATCTGGCTTGATCGTTTGGACAAAGCAAGTTACTATTATTTTGATATACAGATTTTCTAACATGGTTTGCTAACGGACTGGAAGTCTCCTTTACTTTGTCTGGAATAACACTTGCCGATTTACTTTGTATATTTCCTTTTAGATCGTTATGGGATTGGTCGAGGCACCAGTTTTTATTTTTATTATGCGGCGGTGAGAATGGAGCAAACAGCAGTCCGGGTTCATTTAAAAATACGTGATCTTCGTCCAGCGCCGTCTTCGAATGCTTCAGTTGCGGCTTCACAACCTTTGCCTTTTCAGTTCTGGTCGAAATAAGTTTATTATTTAGGGAAGAGAGAGATTTTTCGCGATAGATATTCTTCTTGGGAAACTGAGAGACTTCCACGGGGACATCTGCTTGCCGTCGAACCCAGGGATCAATGTACTGTTGGGAATTTAAATGCTTTTCCTTTTTGGATGAGATATCACTTCTTATATCGGAATTCTTAACCCAGGGATCTGAGGGATTCACCAAACAACTGGTACTTCTATTGTTCGTGTCGTATAAGAAATTTGCTTTGTCCATTTCCACATTGTTGGGGGAAGTTTGCTCCGATTTACTTATTTTATGAGTCAGTTGACGATAAAATTGATTGTCTGCATTGCTGGTGAGCTGTCTCGTTGTTTTGTTAGCACCTCGCGGAGATTTTGTAATCTCGCTTTCGTCCGAAATAATGATGGCTTGCTGAAAACCACTTTTATGCAATGACAGTCTTGGAGACACTGCTCTCTTATCCTTTCCCATAGCACAATTTAATTGCAAACACCCCTTGGCAGACTCGTCTATTGCGGAATTATTTTTTTCGGATGTCTTACATACTTTCAAGTCTTGGATCTTGGCGCTATTGGCCAGCTTAGTACCTGTATCTGAATTTAATTTAATTTTGATTTCTTCGTTGGCTTCCGAGTCAGACCCATTCGACTGATGATGATGAAAATGTTCCTTCTCACAATTGCATACTAATGTCGATGAAATAGATAAAACTTTTTGACTGTCCTTTAGAGATCTGCTCGATGCCACTCGCCTAACACTACTAGCATCGACTTGCTGAGACACTTTGTTGTTTAAATAACGCCCGGAAAGTTGCGTATGCTGGCTATTAATGTATAAGTTTGCATTCATCGGAGAATGTGGAGAGAGAACTGGAAGTGTTGGAGCCATGTTTGGTTGCTTTAATCGGGAAACAAAAAAGCCATTCGACTTTTCATTACTTAAAGGTGGGTCATCTTTCCTATGCTGCTTGCTCTGCCTGTTACCGCACGGTTTATTTAATAATTCAATTCTTGAGAACTGTGGTGATAATGGTTGGGCTTTAAAACACGAGCCCGACTGCTTTTGCTAAAGAAACTTCTGGTCGAGAACTTTTGTAGAACTCTGGCTGGAATTTGAGGCACCTGCAAAAAGACCGAACATACTCATTAGAAATATTCTGAAAGATGACCGCTTATCGAAGAGAATTAGATAGAATATGAAGCGTAAAAAAATTCCTTATGAATATTCTGTAATTAAAGCGACAAATCATATACACATATCTTTGTTACGATTTAATAAGCGTAAATAGAAAAAGGTAAAATTCCAAAGTATCAAAAATTGCTTTATTCAAACTTTTTGTCCTTACATTAATGTATAAAACCATATTACTGATGCGTATTTGCTAAATGATAATATTCAAACAAAACGTAATTGTTTCTCTTGTTTGTGTGTTCTTGCCTATCAGTATCAATAATATTAAATAGCATTTACATGTTTCATTTTAAGTTAGATGATATGATTTTACTTATTGTTTCATAGTGGGGGACCAGGATCACAATGCAGTAAATATGGGGATCTTGGTACAAAAAACTCCTGACGTATTCATATTTAATATATAGATTAACCTTTTAAAAATGCAATTATCGAATGTATTGATGTGAGCTATGTATGTATATAAATAATTACATTGCAATATTTATGATGTTTTACAAACCATCGTTTTCACTCCGTTTTTTATTAGCTTCCGCATTTTTTTTACTTGACTCGCTTCCGACGGTAGTTGAGGATGGATTGGGATGTTTTGAACTTAGGGACACACTGGCTCCGGCAGGGTTTGAATTGGATACTACACCAGAAGTAGTGTCACTAACACCTCCATCCACATTATTCTTTAATTGTCATGTGATCAGCTCCACCGACAAGAACTTTCGCAGGCGTTCATAATAATGGGGATGAAGCTCAACATCATTATGACCAGCGCCCTGAAATTAAATAATACATTAGATACAGTCAACAGAAAGGCAATAATTGTTTTATTGGTGCGGTTAGTGAGCAACTACCAACTGTCTTATTGACACACATATGTTTTGGGCAACTGCACAATATTATTTCACAAAAAGCAATCAATCAATGAAAAACATTTACCTCCACCCAGAACGGTTCCACTGTCTTAGGACACCTCTCGTAGATTCCGATACCATGGGAGAAGTCGATGACCTCGTCATCGGTTCCGTGAATTACCAGAACTGGAGCCTTTACCTTAGCGACCTTATCAATGCTGTTCGGAAATGCGATAAGATCAAATAAAGGTAGCTTGAATACATCGACACCGAACGCTTACCTTGGAAATGCGTCAAAGAACCAAGTTCTCTTTGTGTTCCTAAACACGACTCTCAGACCGGACATAAGAGGCGAGTGTAGAACTACGGCGCCGACTTCGTGGCGGGAGGCCAGGTCCACAGTCGGCACTGTGCCAATACTCTGTCCGTACAAGATTATTGTCTCGGGACTGATGTTGTACCTATAAAAGAAGGGCAGTGATTAATATGAATTTAAAATCTTTATCGAATAGGCTGTAGAGGTGGAGAGCTAAATATGGACTAATTATCACTGCCGTAAATACTTTATTCGCTTACCGCGTTCGCATTGCTTGCCAGGCAGCTTCTATGTCCGCGTACAGATTCTTCTCAGATGGCTTGCCGCCGCTCATGCCGTACCCCGAGTAGTCGTACCCAAAGATATTGCAATTGATCTGCGAGCCGAGGGTCAGATAGAAGCTGCTCATCTGCCCGAGATCAACGGCATTACCATGGGAGAACAGTAGCGTGTACTTGGCGTTTTTGCTGCACCGGACGTAGATGCAGGTGATCAGGTTGCCTCGCGAGGTGCGGGTGAAGAAGGCCTCCACCTTGGACTTCTCCCGTTCGGAGTACTGCCATTCGGCGCGGTCAAAGAGCTGCAAGTTGTACCTGGCATTCGTGTCGTCGGCGGGGGTCAGCTTATACGTGGGCTCGGGGGGCTGGAAGGCCAGCTTGGCCGCAATGTTCCCCGGACAGGGGGGGCAGCAAAACATGCAGCACAACTCGCTTATGCTGAACATGCTGAAGTGCCACCAAATGCCTCTCCGCGGAATGCAACTGTTTTCACTTCTTTTCTCGTCTCCTCTTCGCCCTTTTCTCTAACGGTGCGCGATGTGATTTCTATCAACAAAGGACAAGCGAAGAGGCCGAGTTCGGGTATTGGGGCTGCTCCGAGTCAAGTGGCTAGGTGGCGGATGGGCGAGATAAGCAGAGCATTTTGAAATTGGGCACAAGATTTATATCACAATATTCATAATCTTGGTTCAAAAGCTAATTTGGTTTCTTCAATTTTATACACTCACATTAACAAAATGGCAATGTAAAACAACTATAGGAGGAAATAGAATCGATAGAAATATCGATGGTACCAAATCACAACCGCGCTTTCCAACCCTGAAAAAGGGGCGGGGCGGCGTTGCCGGAGTTTTGGCCAAGATGGAACGGATGGAATATGAAATCAAAGCTAAAATTAAGTTTAAACGTGTTAAATAAAAATACTTTAATAAAAATAAATTTGTATAATTTTATAACTTACGAAAACTTAGAATATTAAGTTACATTATACAAAAAAGTAAGTAGTTAGATTTACAATAAGGTGTCCCCATTTCTATATTGAACACATCATATATTAAAATTTTGTTTTTTATTGCATATTTATGCATTGAAATCGAATAAATTATTGACTAATTTCACATTTGATGTAAAGAAACAAGGAGATTTGAAACTAACGATCTATTATCGATCGGTGTGTCTTTATCGAAAATCGGAAGCTAGAAACTCGGCGGCATGGCTTTCTAGGCTTGGACCATTTGATTTTATTTATGTTTTTGGACTTTTTGTGGGATCTTAAAAACATTTCTAAGACTTGAAATGCCTAAACTTCAAGAAAAATAAGTTTACTAAGTATCAAACAAGTTTCTAGGAAGATTTTATCTAGGAATTAATATAACTTTTGATTTCTAGGAGTCCCTGGCCTCTTTGACTTCGGCGTGGGTAAAATTTTTTGTGTGGATGTTGAACTATTTGTGGAAGTAAGGAAAACATTAAGAAGGATTTATGAAGGAACAATCTTGTATTATAATAAGTCATCGATGTATCAATGAAGTTTCTAATATGATTTAATCTACACGTTAATTCAATTTGTTCCTTGCAGGTGTATCTGGAGCCTTAATCGGGAGCTACTATAGCTTATCAAATTTGCGGCATTTAACACTTAACTACTCCTTTAAATGTTAAAGTGGTAAGTCTATATTGTACTCTCAAGATTCCTAATTAGTAACCAACACTCTGTGGTTTGCATGTCATCTTACGAACTATCCCGGGATAGGAATTATAAAAAAAGTAAATGTTGTCAGATATCTATTCTTATAAAAGCTTCATACTTCTTAGCGTTATATTGTCGCCTTGTTTCTGAAATGGTAGCTAGTAACTACTAGCGACACAGTACTTAAATGTTGGTAATAACACCTTGTTAAGTCCATAAATAATCTTACACATAATACTAGGGTGTTTACGGATTCGACTTCCGACACCGACTTGCCTTTCTTGTAAGACATAGCAAGGTACATTCGCCGCCATATCGACCGTTATCCTCCCGACTCCCACCGGTGTTAGGAACGGAAAACATACTTACACGTGTGTACACGGTAACGAGAGTGAGGCATTCCAACTAGGGTCGAAGTCAAACATATGTAAGGATGATTGACAGCTAATGGAAACAACGGCTAGTCAAATATGTGTGTGCGGGGTGTGAGCCCAAATGATTTACAAAACAAGACAGGAGGAGAAGGATGGGGCCAAGTTAACCATTGCATACCTATTTTTGTACCTGTAATCGAATTAATCGTAGTTTATTTACTGACTATAATTATTTGCGGAAACAAACATGGAAGGCAGTTAGGAAAATGCGAAGAATTGAATGCTATCACAATTACATCTTTATTGGGTATGGGTATTATAATTTATATTATTGTTTACTAAAAACTGTTTCCAATTTTTGCAACTCAAAGAAGGATATGGGGCAGTTCTTTATTGATTTCAGAGTTATTCCAAATTCAATCTCTTACAATATTTAAATACGAATACACAAGTAAATAACATAAAACTATAATAATAATAATAGGACCACTAATTAGTTATTTTTGCCCTTATGGACAATTAGTTACACTGTTGGAATCAAAATACTGGCAGCGGCCCGTTGTGAAAAAGCGGCGGTGTTTTTTGATAGCAAGGTAAATTGCCATATTGGCTGTTATACAAGAAGTTTGGAAAGTACAACTGATAGTGCGTGGCCAGCTCGTTGAAGTTAAATGGCAAGGTGAACTGCGGCTTTTTCAACGCGTCGACGTCGGCACTTCCGAAATCCGGATGTGGTAATCCCTTTGGATCCGGTGCTATTAGACTCTCGATGGTGAACGCCCGTTTCGGACGAACTGGTAGCTGCGGCAAACACGTCGGCATGATCGTCGGCAAAGTCTTGTAGTTTGGAATCGAGGCAGGAACTGGACTACCCAGGTCAAAGTTTCCAGGCATGTGTCCAGCACTCCTGGCCGGCTCTGTGAAGCCCAGATGACTCATTTGATCGTCCAAGTAGTGTGCACTTGCCATTTCGTTAGTAGCGGCGGGCAATTTCCAGTTGGTTAAATCCTTTTCCAGCTGTTTGACACGGAAACGTTTGCGTCTTCTCAGCAAGCTGCCGTTCTCGAACATATCGAAGGCCATGGGATGGAGAGTCCAGTAGGATCCTTTGCCGGCTTTCGTAACATTGCGAGGCACTTTTATAAAACAATCGTTGAAACTCAGGTTGTGCCGCAATGAGTTCTGCCATTTTTGCGTATTTTTCCGGTAATAAGGGAATTGCTCCATAATAAATCGATATATCTCACTGAGCGGCAATAATCTTTGCGGCGAATGTATAATGGCCATGGCCGTTAATGATATGTACGAGTATGGAGGCTTCTGATCACCGTAAGTCATTTTCAATGGGCGTGGCATTTCGACGTCGGGTAGTTCAAAAAAATTTCACACAATCAGTCCGCTACGTTCTTTACTTTATTTGTTTGGTTTTTAAGAGCGATGTTTTCTCGGCGACAGCAGCGTTAAGACTAAAATGAGGGGCGACCAAACTTCATGTTTTATGGAAGGCCAACTTCATCGGGGAGAGCCGGACCGGATCGGAGAGTATTCTTGGTGTTATACATACGTATTCCGAGCGAGAGGGCAGTCGGTCCGGCATCGTTGTGGAAACAGGTATCACATCTGGTTGTCCCTGTCTGAATTTTGTACCAATGGCAACCGTAGGTGTTGTTTACGGCCAGGCTCGGAGTGGGGTTGTTCGGGGAGTTACGGCCAATCATCGCTCCGGCTATTACTCATACAAAGTTGTAGTAGCCAAAAACACCAGGAGCGTGGCGGAAAAGCGTTTTGTCCCAGCGACAAGGCAACGAGGCCCCATTTTTTCCCATCGCCATTTTCAATTTTCAGTGATAGTGCATGCGTGCTGTAAAAGCACAATGTCCCAGGGGAGGGAGCCCTTGATTTGCAAGCTTTTGTCAATACCTGTTTATTCTATATGAATTGTGGGCGTGCCGTAACATGAAACAATAAAGGAAATGCTCGTATTTCACTTCCCATCGCGCTGCTTTCCTCCGCAAAATGGTTTAAATTGCTTTTGGCTTTTGCCTGAAATTGAAAAATAAATTATAAACACAAATATATGTACATATTTGCCTTATGATATATGTTTATCAGCTTAATGATGAACGGAACATGAAAAATTAAGAGGTGTTCTCTGAATAGTTGTAATTCCAAGTAATAAGGGTTCATTAAAAAGTTTATACAATACTGAATGTTTCTATTTTAACTAATTTACTAATAGATAACTTTTCATTTGCCGTCGAGATCTTTGAAACAAATATATAGTAATTTATTCGTAAATGATTAAATGCAGGGCTTAAATAAAAAAACAGGAATCTGTTTTATCTTAGTTATAAATAAATAATATTTTCCACACACCAAAATGGCACTTGTAATTAAAATGTATCTTCTATTTTTATTACCGTAATAAAACTTATAACTTTTCTACATTATCTACCCCAAAATAATCTGTTTAATCTGTTCTGTTTAAAAAATATTGTTACTGTTAAAAAAAAAACAAAACATTCATCAAAGTTTTATTAATTATATCGATGATCATTTTCTTGATTCATCTTTGAAAATTAAGTATTTTTTATAGAAGTTTATAATCTGTATATTTTTATAAAATTATTTAAATACAGTATCTAATGTATTTAAACTTATTTTGTGTTGATAATATGTTGGAGTAGGCTTTAATTGTTTTTTTTTTTTACAGAATTAATCTCTAAAATCTGAAACAAAGCTTAGGAATATTATTGTTTGTGGTCTTTACCAAAAATTTAGGCCGTCTAAAAAATTTGTTGTGATCTTAATTTTTCAAGAAATTTAGCCAAAAAGCTAGCCATAGGTAGCTTTGGCATACATTTTATATTTATTTTAACCTTCAATGTTTCCTTTCCTTAGGAAAGGCTTTCCTTCCTTAGGCTGTTTCCTTAGGTATGTTTTAATGTACCACTGCAACTTCTCAATAAAAAACGTCCTTATTAAAATAAATTTGAGTATCTTCTCCAAATTTCAATACCGACTCAAGCAACAAGAAAACTTTTAACCGGAAGGGGCGTGTCAGAAGTGTTAAACAGGTTTAGCTGAGTGGCATTTAGGCTTAAAGAGATGGCCAAAGGATTGACCTATATGACACAAAATTAGCCAGAATCATTAGGCCTTAGTTTTCAAAATTGTTTAATACTACGTTAGCGTTTCCTAAAGATGCTGCCAAACAAATTCCAAATTATTGCGATTATTGCCTCCTTTTTAGTGTCAAAGATGCCAACAATCATGCGCACAGATGGTCCTGGCCAGGTCCGGTGTGAAAACAAGAAAAAAAGGTGCCGTGGCATGGGTTACAGTCTTTCAGTAAAAACAACTACTCCGTAATCACCCAATCGATAAGTTTTTCTCCTCTTCTGCTGTCGACTGTTTTTTGCTGAGACGCTAAGATGAAAGAGTCTCGAGACATCGTAAACTAAATCAATTTAATTAAGTATGCTCTCCCTGTAAGGACTTTACATTTCTGTAGGTATTCTGAACTTATTGGTAGGAATGCTAAAAACTTTACAAGTTTACTCATAATTAAATATTTGGCAGAACCGTGTGTAAGCGGCTGATTCCCACCAAAGGTCTAAAGCGTCCAAATAACATATTTAGCAATATTATCTTGATTTAAAATACTGTACGCTCCGAAAAGGAGTCCGAAGCGAAGACAAGATCTTTGCTGGTGTCGGGGATAATAACCGTCAGTATTTATTTTACCTATGTGTTGGGGATTTTGTCTGCTTTGTATTGCTTTATACTCGTAAGAAATAAATGTTTGAACACAACAGGCCGCCAATTTATTGAAGGCTAACACACTAATTTGAGGAGTTGAGTTGTGTTTACCCCGAGGAGCTGCGAAGTATACCGGTATGCATGTGTTGGTTCCTCTGAATCTTCCCGACAAAGCTTAAGTGCAGTGTTCATGCTTCTACCTGCAATATAAGAGCGCTAAGGAATACTGCCCAGTTGGAATTTTGCTGGTGCAAAAATTGTGCTTTATAGGGTGCAAGGATTTATGTGATTCAGTTTTATTTAAAATAAAATTTTGTCATAGAACATAATTTCTGCCAGAAGTCACATTCTAGTAAAATACCTTATGTACCTAAAATATGTAATCCTAATCTCTGTTAGATACACGATTATAATGAACTAGTTTCGAAATGGGTTTCGGCTTGAAAAGATATCCATGTTATTTTGCAATAAAGTTATGAAATATTTTTATTTTATACTAAGCTTATATGGTATTTGATCTTGAACCTATCAAATTTGAATTTAAAACAGTTTTAATTTAAGTTTTCTTTAATCAAATAAAATTGTTAGGTTTCACCTTTACTCATTAGTTTTATCTATATATCATTAATCTTTTTATTATATTTTTAAATAAAAAAGTGAGCATGTTCTTAAGCACATATTCCTATCGTACCAACGAAAAAATTGTAAGGTACTCCACGTAATGAAAATAATAAGCCCTTTTTATTACTGATAAAGAATGCAAAAACGGTTGGCTGGCGATGCTCTATGGATAGTGCACTCAGCCGCCCCAGAGGCATATTTCCTACTGCCCCTATTAAATGGGCATCGGCCGGCTCAATCGTTAGTGTCGACGAGGTGAGAATGAACATCGTCAGCTCTTTCGCTCGCCTTATATCATTCACACAACACCCATCGGACCGAATTTAAATCATAACCTTATTCATGACAGAGCGGCCTGGCTTTGGTTCTCGCTTGTGGATCCTCCAGCTACGATGAACGTGGGTAAATGATTAAACCGCCTGGCAGGCCAGAGATTCTTGCTTCCTCAGCTCTGGAGCTGGAGCTGGAGCTCAAGCTGAAGCTGAATCGAAATCAAATTAAACTTGGTGGTGTTTCTCCTGTTGCGTGTGTGTGTTTGGGTTTTGGTTTGCGTTTATGTTTGGGTTTGGGTGTTTGTATGGACGAAGGAGGAACGCATTGTATATTTTGCAATTTGAACAGCCGCTAGTCGCCCCGCCGCCCTACACAGACGTTTATAATTCGCAAAGGTGTGTGTGTGTGCGTCGGAGGGGGAACGGGGCGGGGGAGGAGTGGAGAATGGGGATCGGGGTGGTGTGGCAAGTATAATAAGAGGTGTGCTCAGACATCAGGCTAACAAACAGGCCGCGCACAAGCAGCGCACAGTAAAAATCACTTCGATGGAAGCCATAATGGCCCGAGCTCCTTTCTACGAACCGAGAAACTGAGATCTGACTACCAATTTAAAAATGCCGCTTTTGACTTGCGAGACAGAGTGGCGGTATTCTGCCGGTCGGTCGGTCGGCCTGGTCGGTCGATCAAGAAATACCTTTAGATGGTGGTGTGGTGATGGTGCGATGGTAGGCTGGTTGTTTTCGCACAATTCCTGCTTAAATACAAAGTAAGCTGTTAGAACCATTTGATTTGGCTTTTGTTTTTCACCTTTGGCTTGCTCCATAACTACTATAATATATATATTTTAACCAATTTACTTTCGCACATTAACCCTTTACATGGCAATAACTCCGATTTTCTTGATTTTTTTTTGTTCGGTAGATAAGTAAAAATAAAAAATACACTTCTTTTTATTTTTTTTTTTAAGGTTGGTTTTTCTTAATTTTTTTTACAAAAAGCAAAAAAAATATAATTTTTTAAACTAAGCGAAATTAATGATTTAATTGTATAATAATGCAATAAACACAAAAACTCAATAATATACAACTAAATATAATATTTACCTGTTTTTAAACATTAATTGAATCAACTATACAATTTTTTTTGATTTTTTATATTTTGGATCAGAAACTGCACAACCAATTCAGATTACCACATTCACCAAATTGGCGGGAAAAGTAATCACCTGTTGAGAATTGGACAGAATTCTGAGTGATCAACACTTTTTATATAATAAACGAAAATTGCTGAACTGCATAAAAAAGATTTTAGACAGTTTTGTAACGCAGTTTGATAAATAATTGAATTTAAACGGTATGATGCAGATCTGCATCACCACCATGTAAAGGGTTAAGATTAAAATTTTCTTTGATCAAGAAACTCCAACCAACATGTACAGTATGATATAGTATATGTGCAATTTTTGACTGTCTACTAGTAATACCACTAGAGGGTATTTCCAAATTGGCCAACACCTCTGCAGGCATTAAAAAACCCTTTTCAATTTTTTAAGTATAAATATGGTTAATCAGCATCAACACCCGAGCCGAGCTCGAGTGCAAACTAGTCTGTGTGCGAAACTAGTTTTCGGTGTTGAAGCTACTTAGGCTGATGCTTGGCTCGGTCTTGGGCTTTTCTGCTGCTCCACTGACGGATAAGTCGTCAGTTCCCGAGGGGGATTTCATACACTTCAACATGTATGCATGCACCGGGCATTAACAGTCGACGAGATCGATCGCATGGGAATTTGAGGCAATCTTAGCGAGACATACCACATTTTGCTAAGCACATCTCCTGTTCAGATAATGTTTACTTTATACCTTTTCATCTTACCGCATAAGCAAATCTAATTTACGATTAAATATGTATCGCTTTTGGGCCAAATTAAGCTGTCAAGAGTGGCTAAGGAACTTTTAATCCTAAAATTCTATAGAAACAACGAACTCTCGTGCTTCTTGCCCTATCCTGAAAGTGTATTTTTAGAGAAATATCCCGTGAAACAATTTGAAATTGGGGAATCGTTTGATTGCTTAATAATTCAAAATTGTAAATACAAATAGGTTTGGTGTGTGCAACTCTTTGTAAAAAATTGCAAATAATGCCCCAACAAAATTACCTCAATCAAGTGGTCACGTGACACTTGTGGTAATAAATTCGATGACTCTGGCCAAATGCTCAAGTGCTATTGCGGCTCATTACCTTCCTATGGCTATCGGGTGCCATAAAGCCAATCCTTGCACTCGCTGAAGACCGACGGCATCCCCAGTGGAACACATCACCCAGCATCCCTTATCGTAAAGACCTCAGTCATTTTGTTAATGTTAACCTACTACACCATGACGATCCTTTTAGGAAGTGATGTTTTCGCACTGTGTTGATTTATTGTATCATTAGTGTTTATGAGTTCGAGCCCCTTTTCAACGGCGATGACTTTGCAATATTTGTGTGTGAATGAATGAAAACAAAATAAGATCTAAAAAATTATACATTTGACAAATTCAACTGCAAAAGCTGAAAACAGATGTTGAAGTTATAAAGCTACTTAATTTATTTAAGAAAATGTTTTAAACTTAAAATTTATTTCAACTGTAGGATTCTTTTGGCGTAAGAATCTCTGTATACTGAGCACTAAGCCACCTATTATATCTTTTTAACAAACATGTGGCTTAAACACTTGCAGCCGATACGCTTCTTCTGCTTTAATGCGATTTGACCCTTTTTTATTTACAGAAACAAATTAATATCCCCTAAACTGGTACACATATCATTAAGCATCTTGGGGATCTGGGCAGACGAAAAAAACATACTCGAAAACATACGTAACCATAACAATTTGAATCGGCCGAAATACAGATGGGCTCGTGACAAAGTACCGATTACTATTCGTTCCGATCACTCTAAGTATTCAAAGCCTTTGGAACAGCTCTTTGATGTACCGGCAATAACAAAAAACATGATGGTTTTGTTAATGGATTTCTATAAAGGCTTCCGACTGTTAAAAGACCCGACTGGGAGAACACCCGTGGCGATAATTTAAAGCCACTGTCTAAGCCAGCACCTTTTTGTTACCTTTGCGCGCTGGGTATGATAGTTTTTGACCAACTGACTGCATCGCACAAAAGGAAACAATTTTGACTTCGAGGAGCTTACAGATCGATTTGCATTTTCAAGGGTGGATTCCTGGGTAAATTGAATTATTGAACTTTAGGTGAGAGGATTGTCAGTTGGTTAAGGTCTTTGTAAAACATAAATAACTTTAGTTTATTCTTTAAATGTCTATCTAAGTTTAGGCTAGGATAAGGATAAAAATACCGTCGGAGAGTTACATTTCCAACTAGCATGTTTCCAATTAAAATTGTTGCACAACATTTTTGTAAGCCATAAGCTGATTTATCAAAAACTAGTTTTGGTCTACAACTCACAAATATTTACGTTTTTAAGTCTTTCCAGAAGAAAATTAAGTGTATCGAATTTTATGATTTCAACACAAACCTTAATCGTATCTGTAATTTGATTCTTTGGCCTGATTATCTCCAAATGGTTTTCACGTTCCTATAACCAACCAAAGCGATTATGCAAATTAATCTTTTGAATATAAAAATTATTAAAATAGATCGGAGGCCTAATATGAAATGTGCTAACAATCGAGGTCAAGTTTTCATTTTAAAACTGCATTTAAATGTTCCACTTTTATAGATCATTTCAGCTTAGTTAGTTTAATTGTTTAGTTATTCAAAAGTTAAGAGTAACTTTTGACCAAAGAAACTGAAATACACACAAACTGAAATTACCTCCAGTTAATGGTGTCGGTAAGGCCTTAAAAATCAATCATAAATTTCATTTTATTACTAAAATGACTTTGTATTTATTCAATAAGTTCAAATATTTTTCCCTTGGCGGCAAATGTTTACAAATAGTAATGACACAACCAAGACACCATTTATTATATGAAAACATTTTGTTATGTTTGTAACTAATTATTACAGCATAATTCTTCTCGCAGCTGGAGTTGAAAGTAAATTTTTGTCTGCACCTTTCATGTTGCCGCTAATTTTCCGTTTCAACTAATTTGACTAAAGCAAATATATTTAAAGCAGGTAAAACCGCTAGGTTTATGTTTTCCGACGGTCCGGTACCCCGATAAAGATTTATTTTTTCGTTTAATGGAACATGATATATGAACATTGGGGTGTTTACGCTGCAGTCATCATCTTCGATTTTTTAAACCTCTTTTAAAAAGGCGCGACTGATCAGGGCAGATTTATAACAAGAAAAGTGGAGATAAAAGGCAAGTAAAAAATAAGTAAAATATAATTAGTGGTAATATGTTTAGGTGGGCTGATCTTATTTGAATTTACACCAGTTTATTTAAGGTTGAATATTAATCTTATAATTTTCTAAGTTTTGCCCAATAAATCATCAGCTTCAAAATTCTGTGTCTTTCATACAGCATTTTGATAAAATGTAGCAGAGCTTTGTCAATTTTCGAGATAAATACTTAAACATCTTTATTATGCCAATTGACCCGATTCTCAACGATACAGAAAGTCCCCTTCGTAACGAGCAGGGTATATAACACCTTCCACGTCTATCACTTCCTCTAAAATAAATTTATTTAGTTCTCTTAATTAGAAAGATCCTTATGTCATTAGCGCAGATCAGGCCAAAGGAGCCTAATTTTTTTATAAGCCCCTTTTAAAGCTAACAAGATCCCTAAACGCCATATGGCGTTTTTCTCCGAATCATTAATTAATAATATCAATTTATGTTTATGATAAAGAAACTTATACTCACCTTTTCTTGTAATATTATTTTGTTATAATACTTTAAATGCCCATAGCACGTTATACATTCGACACGCTTATACATCTATACATACGAACGTTTCGAAAAAGGATACGAAAATGTGTATTTTAGACGCTCCTTTAGATTATGAACGCAAAAGGGACTAACAAATATTTAACAGCTCAAAGCAGTTATATAGATGGCCAAACACTTCAGCTGGTGTATCCATTAAGGCCAGTTTTCTGTTACCTTGTTATTATTGCTTCCTTTATGTTAATAACCCGAAAGTGTTTTAAATTTCACGCATCTTGCTTGTTAAGTACATACAACCGTTTATTGCAGCCAGAAAGGAAGACTTGCTTCGGGGTCTCCGGCATGGGATGTAGGATACCCTTGCAGACTAATTATGCATCGGGCAGCTTTATGATTATGCTGCCTGTTTTCATCAAATTTTTCAAAAAGATTTAGTGATGTAAATTAGACATTGAGGGATACTTTAAGAAAAAATTAGAAATTTAATACTCTACCTCACCTTGTCTTGTATATTTAAGTTCTTGGAGGAGAGATCTTTTATATAGTTCTTGGTAAGAATCACACAGTCTGTCCGTCTGTGTGCCTTCGTATAAATAGGAAGGTCCTTTCAACGCAATATATATCTATTCGAAATTATATTGCCGAATAATTTAATTCGGGATAATTCCCAATTCCATGATACATAATTTTTGGTAATTTATAGTATTATTAATCGATTGAAACTTCCATAACATTTTGCAGATTGAAGCTTTAACATCCATTTTATAAAAGCTTCTAGCTTTTTTGGTCTAAAATGAATTTTGGAAGAAACAAATGATTAGTTTTACTAACTTTCAATGAAATCGTCCGACTATACCCTATAGATGTCGAATAACAAACTCGACAAATAGGCATCTGATTGGAGAAGAAGTTCGTGACTTTTTTCAAGACTTAATATTTTTATGGGATATTTTATCTAGTCTCTACTGATGATCCTAGAATTGGACTAAGTAAACTAAGTAACTGAGTTATGCCGTACAACTATACCACTTCCCTATCCATCAGTGAAGTAAGATAAATAATTCTCCTAAAATTTATTCCTGAAACTTGCGATTTACAATTAAGAACGTTTAAAGAATCTATAAAATTTCCTACAATTTTACTAAATTAACCAAAATAAATTATAATTGCAAAATTTGCCAACTTTATTTGAGCAGTTGAGAGATTTTTAAACTTGATACAAACAGAAACAATGTCTATTCAATTAAATATTCTTAATCAAAAAATTAAGAATATTTTTTCTAATATTAATATGGTGTTGAAATATGCTTTTAAAGTTTAATAGGGGTGATATTAATCTAGTCTTGTAGAAACCCATCTTCCCTTTAGCTATTCTATATTTTGTTTTAACTTCAAATATATTAAAAACGGGATCAAGTCTTTACTCAGTTATTCTGTAATTCGAATCTAATCTTATAAATATATGCTGAAAATATTTATGGCAAGATTTTTAAAGACGATTTTTTTCATTATTTAAAGGTTTATATTCTTCACAAAATGATCGATCTATGTACTAGGATATACAAATAAAATAAATAATTTACTAGTACGGATATGTAATACAAGCTATTAAAATTTGTATAACAAGCTTTATTTACATGCCTTCTAACACCTAGGTGTGCCATATGTTTTGGTCCTATTACAATTAACCTTAATTCAAAAGGAACTACGTTTGGATGGATATACATATATCGTTTCATAAATAATGCTATACATAATTGTTGTGGTTGCTGTTTGTTGGCTTCAAACGGCTTATCTAATACTATATCGTACGCATATCGTTGTCTATTCTATTCTGGACCTCGGGTGCCCGATACTGTTGCGCCGGAGCCACTAATGTGACGTTGTTGTAGTAGATATTGTGCATGTTGGCAATGGGCGCTGTCATCATAAACAGCGGATGCGAGATAGCCAGCTCGTAGGTGGCACTGGCACTGGAGCCCGGAAGCCCCGCCGCCTGGAGTCCGGCCACATTAGCTCCGCCGGTGGCATAGTGCAGGAAGGGCACGTGCGCTCCGGCGTTGATCGTATGCAGCGGTGGCAGGGGATCCTCAGTGCGGCTGGATCGGCTGGCGGACATGTACTCCTCCGAGGCGGCGGGCGTGCCAGGATACCGAGAGATACTACCAGCGCTACCGCCGCCGCCTCCGCACTCCACAACGTCGATGTCCACGCGATCATCCTCGTCGTCCTCGTCCTCGGAGTGATGTTCCGGCTTGTCCGGCGTAATCAGACTCTCTATCGTAAAGGATCGCTTTGGTCGCAGCTCAATATCCGAGCTAGTTAGCGAGGGCAGACTGGTCAGTCCCATGTCAGACAGGTTCGTGTGATCCGCACTGGAAATGGATCCTGGGATGACATGGGGCATGCCCAGAGAGTTTGGCATGTGATTCGGCGTCCTGGGCATCGGATCCAGCCGCATGGCTCCGGCGTTCATGTCTAGCGGTGCCATGTGCGCTCCACTACCTCCATTCCGGGTGGTGAAAAAGAACCGATTGAGATTCGCCAGGGCGGTAAGCTCCTCGTTCAGCAGATCCTTGTCGTTCTTGTGGAGCTTAAAGCGCTTCCGCCGGCGGAGCAGACTACCGTTTTCGAACATATCAAAGGCCTGCGGATGCAGAGCCCAGTAGGCGCCTTTTCCGGGCCTGTCCGGCCGACGCGGCACCTTGATGAAGCAGTCGTTGAAGCTGAGATTGTGCCGGAGCGAGTTCTGCCAGCGCTGGGTGTTCTTGCGATAGTACGGAAACCTATCCGTAATAAACTTGTAGATGTCGCTCAGCGGTAGCATCTTCTCCGGCGAACTCCAAATGGCCATGGCCGTCAGTGAAATGTACGAGTAGGGGGGCTTCTGTTCGCCGTAGGATTCTCGCGAGGGTCTGGGCATTATTGAGCGATGTACTGGGTTGTACTGGGTCAACACATCACCGTGTTACATATTTGCCAACGGGTCCGTATATTATCCGTTAAGTGACCCGGCCAGGCGAAACTGTTCTAGGTGATTTACTTTTCTGCGATTTATTGCGCCAAACTAAATATATTTTTAATGCACTTAATAATTATAATTAATGCTTTTAATTATTTCAGTTTCGACATCCTAAATAAAATGCAGTGCATGACGGACACTGGAGGACACTGGTTTAACCGTCGGAGGAACTAAGTAACCTATGGTGGTGTAATGGCGATACGACATGACGTCCGAGGAGGCAACGGCAACGGCATAGGAAAGGCAGAGGCGATTTGCGATTGGATAGCGACGGCAAACAAGATCGCGCGAACTGTCGGCAATAAACTCTGCACAAGAACTACGCTCGTTATAAGCTTCAGCGACGACACTGAATGTAAAAGCACTCTCACTGAGGTTTCCCCCGGCCTGGCAAATTACCATCAAAAGCTGAATGCGAATACGTGAGCGGTGCGGCGGGGAGTGACCAGGATGATGGAGGGTGCCGTGCCTCGTGGGGAGTGCGCGGTAGTAGCGGCAGAGACTTCGGCGGCATCGGCCAAACTGGAGGCGAAGATAGCGATAGAGAGAGGGAACAAAACAAACGACAACAAACGAAGAACACGGCACACAAAAAATTACTGTTTCAGCAGACTGGCAGACGACGTGCCGGTTATTGTACTAAGTGAGCAATGCCGTCCCCGTACAACCAACCACAGTGAGCAATGCAATCAAAATATAATCACTCACATCATTGCCCCCGTGCTCTCTCCCAATCACCGCGATGCGAACATGCATCATCCCTGTCCCTCCGCCACGGCGAAACTTCAAAGCGAACCTGGCCGGAGCTGGGCGAGGAGAGCCAAAGCAAAGAGTCTGAGATTTACTAAACGAATAAACCAGTCCGACCAGACCACACTACTCCGCTCTGGCGAAGAGCTAATGCCCCGCCGGTGGTTGCGGCGGTTGCACCCAAAAAAAAATTAGGGCTCTGAATATTTTAGCTTTTTTAAAGTTTATAAATTACAACTAAAATATAGAGTAAAATAACGAACCCTGTACTTTTATTTGTTAGAGCTATGTAGCTTTTATAAAGACCCGTTTTTTGAAAACCAAAAATTGGAACTTATTCACGAATTATTTTTTTCAAAATTTCAACTTTGCATAATATTTTTTTTTATGTGTTTCAGGGGAGTATCTCGTCGGTTTTATTTAGCTTTTGCCTTTGCCGTTGCCTCGACTCTGCTCCGGACAAAAGAGCAGCCGCCCCGGCAGCTGGTTCTGACCATGGCTGGGACTCTGGGCCTTTGGCTTGCTTTGGCTTTGGCGTTGGCTTTGGCTAACGGCCCAATGCGAGAGAGGTGTTGAAAAAGAAAATTACAACCACTTTACCGATTTACTGATTTTACGTTTTCATAATCTTGTTAGTTAATTTGCCTGCTTGGGACTCGGCCATGATTCCACAGAACGTAAAAGCCAAAGCACATTGCCACCGCATTCGGCGAACGTGTGGGTTTGGCTTTTGCCTTTGCTTTTGCCTGTTTTGAGCTTCGCTGCGATTTCACGAGACTCGATTTAACACTAGGATGGATAATTGTCTTTAATAGTGCGCCTGATAGACCAGCAAATCGCACTCCGGTGGATGGGTGTATAGAATCGCATTAGCTATTAATGAGCAGGCATTCTTTCGAATTAATAACCACTTTAAAATACCAATTGGTTAAAGTAAATTAACTTTAAGCTATTTTTACGACAATTTATTTCTTGGTAACAAGGTCTGTCTCTATTTTGATTAAAATAATAAAATTTTTACATAAAATTTATAACTTCGTGGCTCGAATTAAGCATAGATTTTATATATTTATAAGCCATGTTCCCTAATCAATAAAATCTCTTCTATTTCAGACCTATAATTTCGGACCAAAAAAATAAAAAAACTACGATACTGGTCCCTAACGGATATTGTAGTAAATTAAGAATTTATTTATCTGTTTATAAATAACAATCGCATTGGCCATAATTGTGCCGTTCATAGCGATAATTAGGTGCTCGGCGAGCGAAGGTTAACAACGATGTGCCGGAGCGACGGCGCAGCTCCTAGAGGGCGGCTGGGACGGACGGGACAGGGCTGGTGAGCGAGACCTGGAGAGGAATGGCTGGGTGAGAGTCGTCCGCCGGGAGCGAGATGGCACCACAACGATATCGCACATCTCGCTCCCTTGCTGGTCTATACGAGCCAAACAATAATAAAAATAAAACCTAGGACGGGATTGGCCATGGCTTAAATACATTTGTTGGGGCGTGGCCAAAAAGCCCAAAGTAATAAAACTGTATATGTTAATGCAAGTTGACATATGAATATGTCTACAGTAGCACTTTTGATTAACCATTAACGAGTTTTAAATGCCTACAAAAATTCAATTATCCCGTAAAATTATATGCCATAAGTAATCAAATTACCGCAACCAGCAAAGTCATGATATTTTTGTACCAAATTATATATAAATATGTACTTAATATAATGGCTATAATTACAAATGTAACTACACACACGCAACTACATCGCAGCTTGAATGAGTTTATTACTTCAGTTGTGGTGAGTGCTTTTGCTAAAAATTGCGACATTAATTTGTCGCACACGGCCATATTGTAAATATGCTAATAATGGAGGAACCTCCATTACAGTTTTCCATTCAACCCGATTTCATCCCTAAAGCTTGTTTCGAAAAACCCTTTGGTAACCATTACGGACATTAAAAGATCGTTGAAAACTGAATAAATAATTTGAAAATGAAAATATTTGTAGAAAGTTTCAGTAGAATAAGAAGATTAGAAAAATATATTATATGTGCTATTAAAATACTTTACTGAATGTTAAATCTACAAATGTTTGTATTCAGAACCAATTGTACTAAAAGCGAAAAAAATGTAAAAGAATCATTTAATAAAACTAAATTACCTAATTATTCCATAAAACTAATTAGACCTACAAACAGAAGTCCTTTCGTTTGTCAGCATCAATATTTGTAACATCTACAGCTTTCAATTTTAAATTCAACAAGAAAGGAGAGCTAACTTCGGGCGTAGCTTAAGTTGATATACCCTCGTAGATAAGAGCGAATATACATCGCAAACATCGGATATACTTTTACGATCCATATGGAAATTTCATTGTGAATCGAATTTTTTAAAATAAGTATTTGAAATCCGGTTTTTTTTATAAATAATGATCAAATATTTTTAACCGAAGCTTTTATCTTCAAAAACACCAATTCTGAGTCATTTCCGATCGTTTTAGCTAAACGAGCTATAGTAGCAGCTATAGTTCATAGCCAACCGATTATTTTGAAATTTGGCAGGTAAAATCAAGTAGCCAAGAGAAGAATCTAAGAAAATCACATCTATTAACTCTGAAACACCAAAGTTATGATATTTCCAAAGTATCTGGCAGCTGTAGGATATAGTCGACCTATCTCGGCCGTTCCAACTTATATTCTGTGTGCAAAGTTTGGAGTCTCGTTCTCGTAGGAACAGACTTTTGGCTTTGAATCTGGCTTTTGAAATATCATTCATAAGAACTTTATTGTTAATTCTTTTGAAAAAAATTATTGTCCTTTATTTATATCTTCGTGAGAAATTACAATTTGGCGGGGAACTGTTTCCCCTGCCATGATTGTTTCTAGGACACCCTAGACCCCAATTCAACCGTGAATCTTATTTAAAATTTATTTAAAAACCATTTACAGAAACATGAATAAGCATTCAAAATTCGCTAGCGTAACGAACGCGAAACATAAATTTACATTTTATACAGTACCATATTTTTAATAAAATTATAGCCGCCGAGGTTGGCTCAATCAAATGGGCTGCGAGCACACAAACATAATGTAACAACAGATACAATCACAACAAATTTCACGCCAAACAATTACAACGCGCTATAAGAATTTTGTTAACAGAGGGATGGTCAAGGTATTTAACCCGCGACCATAAATCTTTTTATATTCACCATGTTGTTGTTTGCTGGGCTCAGACTCAGTACCCACCCAGTGGGTTTGACATTTGCCTTGTAAATGCGTAATAATCAGGACATCCGACAAACAGAAAGTAACGCTTTAATTCTATTTTCTCCGGTATACGGTTAACAGTTGCTACAATCATCCATTTAATGTCGAATTGTACCGAAACGGAAACCAATGAAAATAAACAGAAAATCTGAAAGGCAAAACATACCCCCCGGGTTCAAATTAAAAACCCATTTCTTGCATTGCTGACAAAAATCGCATTGACAAAATGCCTATTTCATAATATTTGCAGCTGCAATCGGTTTTCTGGAATTACTCAAACATTGGAGGTATGGGCCTTTTGGCAGTTAAACATTTATTTAAGCTTTAACTGGTTTCTGTTTATTTATAAACTTTTATACAAATTTATCTGGGTCTTTGATCTTTTAAATAATTAATAGAAAATAATAATATACCACAAAACCCAATCATTAGTCTGAAATCTGTTCAAGAAATAAAGCCATAAAAACAATTAGTCGATGTTTCTAATCGTCAATTTAAGATTTATTCTACATATTAATTAATAAACCATTCAGAAGACTAATGGCAAAGCTACCAAAGAATCAATCTATTTGGAAAATTTGATATTTAAAATTTATTTAAGATTTATTTATTACTTCTAAAAACGTATAAACCTGCTGACGAATTAACGATAATAAGATCGGAACAATTAGGTTAACTAAATTCAATAATATTTTCTACAATTTTTCAATTTTTATACACTTTTGAATATCTTTTTGTATAAGTCTTATAAAATGATGTTCCCAAATATCAAGTAAACATATTTTATATAATTTCCTACATTAGTTTACTAAGGCACCACCTGTCCAACAAAGCGTAACAATGGCTTAAGAAGTAGTTTACATTAAATGAAACCCATAAATTAAAAAGGAAACTGCTGTGCTATGTGTCAGAACCGTAATTAGAGATATTGGCTTTAAATAATCGACCGGCACTCATTTGTTCACTTTTTACTCGCCGACAACGCAGCGGCACGCCTGTGTTTAAGATCGAACCACAGAAAAGGTGTTAGAAAAGGGCGATCGGTAAAAAGGTAAAAAGGCACACACGATTTCTGGTTTCCACACATGTGAGTGAGTCTGCCCCTTCGAAAAGGTGTATGTGTGTACCAGCACGTCCGAGTGTCCAACTGTCCGACTGCTCATCCCCTTTATTGTTTCATGGGATCAAGTTGTAGTATGTGGTCCAAACGGAGCGAAATCGTATATTGGTGTACGAGTTTCCATGCTTCGGTCGGTCGGCCTGCTGATCATCGGCATTACCCGTAATAGGCTTCCAGCTCAAACTGCCTGTGCAGGCCGAGCTGGCTATTTAGGAGAATGCGTTCCATCATTAACATCAGACAGCTGTTAAATGATAGACAGAATTAGTATAAACACATTTAATTATATGGTTGGTGTTGTCAGGTGTTTTACACCTTATTAGATCGTGTTAACCTTTGATCTAACTAACTGATATGGAACGACGGATGCAACCTGAATGCAATTTCTAAACACGTTCTCCCAGACGTTGAAAACAACTAAGCACTCGTCCCCATTAACTATATGAAAATAAAATCGATACCTATGCTAATATTACCTAGTGAGAAACGCAATCTATTGGATGGGGCGTAAGCACTTTGTATATTTTCGTTCGATCCTAAAGAGAAACACTTTAAAAGAACTTTTCTCGAATGTGTAAAATGATGGAAGCAGCGTATATGGTACACCACCATATCCATATCTTTGCCTATTTTTATCCGATTCTGAAGCGGAATACTTTAAAAGAATCGTGGATAGATTCTCTGTAAATCTGCATCAAAACCTTAAAACCTATTTTAAATAAATTTTTTGACTATTTTTGTGAAGGAACCCCTTTCTCTAATGGGGAAAATGATGGAAGC